TAGGTGTTTTTGCACATTTTGGCACATTTACTGCATGTTGTTTCTTAATATTACTGCCAAGAGACTGCACGTGGCATCATGTGATTTCTGAGATCTTTAATCTGCTGTTGAAGGTGAGGGTGCCTGATGTGGAGTTTTTCATCAATGTTGGCGACTGGCCATTAGAGACGAGGAGAACAGATGCTGTTCCAGTCCTGTCGTGGTGTGGCTCTACAGACACACGGGACATTGTCCTCCCCACTTACGAGGTCACACACTCGACCCTGGAGACCATGAGAGGTGTCACCAATGACCTTCTGTCTGTCCAGGGAAATACAGGTACACACACACACACACACACACACACACACACACACACACACACACACACACACACAAACACACACACCTGAGCCGCTGTGACAGCTGCTGTAGTTCAATTCAATTCATATGAACAAAGGAGACTGGGTGCAATCTGCACCACACACAAACTGAATTTTCTTCCCTCTCACATTTAAACTTTCTGCCAGGGGGTGCTACAGGGTTCAGTCATGGGCCCTCTCAGTTTTACATTGTACATAAACAATAGTGGATAATTGTTTGAATATTGGATGATACAGTGACCTATTGTTGTGAACCTACAATATTAGAAGTTTTTAGTAATCTGCAAATGCCAAAACTTGCCTATCGAAATGGTTGCAGGGCATCAGGTTTACCTGCGTTTCTTTATTTTGTCCTGTTTCACATTTAAAGGAAGAAAAAGATTAGCAGCTGGTACCTCTTGCAGGTATTACAGTGGAGTCCTAAAATTTATTTGAGAAACTACTGGCCATTCCTAACAATTCATAGATAAATCTACTGGCACTGCTTCATTTTCAAGTGCATGTTTGAGCAGTTTCCATCATGTGTTTTCTCAAATCTACTTCCACCAAACATGTCAAACTACAGTCTCTTGGTCTCAGGACGCTGTACCTAAGGTATGTACACACCTTGATAAAATTGTGGACGTTTTAGGACTAAAATGGTTAAGTACACTTTATTAAAAATTAAAGTGTGCCTTTTATCCCGTTTTTTCCATTCTTTCTTGACCGCGATTCATGAGATGTCAATCACGTGCTCTCTGTTATTTTTAAAAACTGTAAACACATTTGTGTACACCTGTGTATGTAGCCTCTGACTGATTTTTCCATTTAATCAGACTAGTGTGAGAAAAAACTGCCAGTTGATAAATTTGATTTAACTAATGAGTCAGGAGATGTAGCCACCCTTACCCCAGGCTTATTGTGTCCTTATAGTACACGATAAACCCTGGCAAATAATAAGTCACTTTTATGGAAATACATAGGAGTTGTTTCATTTATCTAGAATGAAAGCCTGTTATTCACTTACTTACAGTTTTAGTCCTTAAAATGCACCGCCAGTGCTAGTGTAATATTCTCTATTCTATCTCTCATTATTTATTAAAGTTGCTGCTTTTAAATTCAGTCAATTGGAGATCTTTAGACCTCATATCGTTACGTTTTCTACCTCTCTGGGTAACATTTGGACAACTTTCTTCCAGGACCTCCTTGGATTAACAAAACAGATCGAGCGTTTTTCCGTGGCCGGGACAGTCGAGAGGAGCGCCTTCACCTGGTCTCTCTGTCCAAGGAAAACCCTGAGCTGCTGGATGCAGGCATCACAGGATGGTTCTTTTTCAGAGACAGGGAGAAACATGTGGGCAAAACACCGCTTGTTGGATTCTTTGACTTCTTCAAGGTGAGGAAAAATGAATTAATCAATCAGTGTTTTAGAAAAATTCATGTTTCTCCTGTAACTTGTTAGGCAGGTGTTTTTTCCTTCTTTACTATGTTTTTGATGTGATTTCCCAGTTATGGTCACAAATAGCCTTACCATGATAAAAACAACAAAATAAATACACACATTTTAGTAAACACTTGATATTAAAGATGGTTTTATTTCTCGTTTTAGTACAAGTACCAGGTGAACGTGGATGGAACAGTGGCAGCGTATCGCTTTCCTTACCTGATGCTCGGGAACAGTCTGGTTCTGAAGCAGGACTCGCAGTATTATGAATTCTTCTACAGCCATCTTAAAGCAGGCACTCACTACGTTCCCGTGAAGAGAAACCTGTCAGACCTTTTGGAGAAAATCAAATGGGCCAAAGAGAACGACACTGAAGCACAAGAGATCGCCAGAGCAGGTCAGACAGCGGCCCGAGAGCTGCTGCAGCCCAGCAGGCTCTACTGTTACTACTACCAAGTGCTGCACATGTACTCAGAGCGGCAGATAGGACAGCCAACACGGCATGCAGACATGGAGCTGGTGCCTCAGGCGGACGACCAGACCGCTTTGTGTAGTTGTGAGCGTGAAAGCCACAAAGACAAAACCAACATGAAAGATGAACTATGATCTTTTTTTTCTCTGAAACATTCCTGTCATGTAAAGTGTGAAGATAATTGAATGTTCCTGATTCTCACAAGGAAATATGGATTCAACAGTTTACAATCAAGCATTACAGTTCTAATTGTTGCTTTTATTGTGAACAATAAAGAAAGTTTGAGAAATGATTTACAATAAAAACTCAGCCTCAACCATTTCAAGATGAAGCTGTAGAACATTGCCCTCAAAATTACGCCACTCTTAGTTTTTAATATGTGTTGTTGCTGTTTTTTGTACCTTTGTAAAGTTCTGGTTAGTAATGCAAGAAACTAAGTATATAATTACCATTTTGTAAACGTGCCTTTTAATTGTATATTTTTACAGTATTATTTTAAAATAAACACATCTTAAATAAATCCTATTTTGACAGTTCAATCCAAACACAACCCCTCTTATGTAAAGCCCAAGTGTTACATACATTGAGCTGTGACTGTCGTAAGCATGTTTGGCCAGTGAGCTTTACAGCGGTCCGCTGCGCCTACAGACAGGTAGGACAGGGCATTATTGTTTGGATATTTGATTTTTTCCCACGGTTGAACAAAGGGCCCAATTTTGAACAGGCTTATACTGAACATACAGTTGGTACTGTGTGGTCAACTCTGTTCCATTACCAAAGCTTTTACTTTATAGTAAAATTGTATTTCTAAAGCAGTAGACTAAGTCTACAGTCCTGTTAGTGGCTCTGTGAAGCTGTGCAATGAGATCAATGTTAATGTTAGCATGCTAACATGCTCGCATTGATGACATACAATGTTAACATGCTTGTGTTTTGCGGGTCAAGTTAGCATATCATTTTTACCATCTCAGTTTATTGTTAGCATGCTAACATTTGGTAATTAGCACAAAACATAAAGTATAGCTGAGGATGATGGGATTGCAATCCCCTGAGCTGCTAGCAGGGCTAAAATGATGAGACCATGATGTATTTACTGATGGTAAAAACAGGTTGGGATGCGCTGCCTGGACCATCCTCTCCACTCTGACATGATTTCTGTAGTTTGCTGCTGAATTTGTATTTTGACAAACTGCCCTTTGTTTATTTGGAATGTGGGCGGCTGTGGCTCAGAGGCATAGCGGGTTGTCCACTAATCAGAAAGTGTCAGTTTGATCCCTGGCTCTTCCCGCCACGTGTCGAAGTGTCCTTGAGCAAGATATCGAACCCCAAATTGCTCCCTATGCTGTGCATCGGTGTCTGAATGTATATGAACGCGTTAGTTTCTGTTTGATGGGCTTTGCTTTGTGTGAAAGGGTGAATGTGGCACGTAGTGTAAAAGCGCTTTGAGTGGTCGGAAGACTAGAAAGCCGCTATACAAGTTCAGGTCCATTTACCATTTACCAATGTTGTATGCAGCTCCTGCTCTGTCTCGTAATGTTACCTTAACACACTGGTCTTTCCAGGTTAACCTGCTTTCTCTCCAATGTGTGTTTTACAGCCCTCTTAGAAGCTTTTGGTCTAGCTGTAGTGAGATCTGATCAGGACATCAGCATTTTGATATTGTTGGACACAAGTGGAAAAACATTATCTCCTTGCAAATCCTTTTATAAAAAGCAAAACAATGCATAAAGCAACAATAATGAGGGTTAAAGCAATTGAGTTAGATATGTTGAGAAGATATGTTAGTATTTAAATGAAATATGTGACAATTTACAATAATTTGTTAAAGATCTAAAGTCATTTTACAATAATATTTGATAAAATGAAAACAAATATTTCCCTTTTTTTACCCTACTGTATGCTGATATAGTGACATCAAACAATATCACAGTAAATGTTTCCTGTCTATATTATTAATATAATTTGAGAATAATTAGCATGCCAAATCTAAACATGTTGCACACTCACTATTTACAGAAACTGTACACTCATCCTTCCATTTAACCCATTGCAATTTGTGATACAAATTTAAAGGAAATGAGAATTCCCCTCAAGAAGAGTAGTTTCAGGTAAAAGTACCAATATTCTGCCTAAATCCAGTAAAATAGTTGGTAATATACAAAACAACATTGTAAAGAAAGCTTAAACTCAACTCAAATTTACATAAACACAGCAGCTATTTGGTCACAAAAACATGGATCCTGTTGCAAGTATGTCATGTGATTTTCTTTAAAGAACATGTTCCAGTTTACTTTGGTTTATTGGAGGTAGTTGCCCTACTTCACTCTTTTTCTATCTTGTGTCAACACATAGAACTTCCAGTTACTCCAGGAAGTTGTGATGGTACAGTTATGATTTTATTTTTTATTGGAACAAGTTGCCTTTGACTTTTAATAATTTAAACAAAAAAAAACTCTTTTTGCAGTTTTCATTTTCACTGCGATGTTATTAGGCATTTCTTTGCAATAAAAGAGAGCATTGCAAAAAAATGCCTAACAACATCGCAACTTGCATCACAATCTTTTAGAAAAGCTGACGTTAAATCAGGCATTTTAAACTGCAACAATAAAAAAAAAAGCCAGCAAAATCCTGGAGGGACGGATCTACACTGAGTGACCTTTCATTTTCAAGTGAACTATTCATTTGAGCTTTGTTTAGTGTCAGGATGGATTATATCTAACTAATAAATAAAATTCTAGTTCTGCACTCATACATTTAACCTTTTACCATTTACACATGTTAGTTTACAGTACAAAGGTTTGTATGGTTCCTTTTCTCTTTGAAGAAACACTGTAGACTGAAGACAGGTACGAGGTTTTGCGGTTAATCACATCTAATAACCTTTTTCACATGTCAGAGCAGAAAAAGCAGTGTAACTAATAATAGTTGTAGTAGTGAGTCTTACAATAGCTAGACCCTTGAAGTAAAGCATAGAAATGGGATTCAACCATTATTAACATTAATAGTTACACCTCTGTTGGACAAATTGTATGATGGAACCTTGCAACTCTTTAAAGACGCATGTAAGTGCAGTATGTTTGGCCTTGTTTATAAATGACGTGTTGATTAAGCTGTCAGAAAACAGGAGTCAAAGTAAACAGCAGAAAACTGACATACTTAGATGTACCATCAAACAACTGGGATAGTTTGAAAATAACCAGAATCTTTTCTCAAAAGCCTTCTATTTTCAACTTAGTAGGTCTGAAGGTAATTTCTCAAGAGATAACAATAATAACCCCCACATTTCTATCACATAAAGGTTATTACTGTGTGGCTGTATCATGTCATTGGCCATTAAATATTACAAGTCCCTTTGGTTCAGCTGAATTTAATCATGAGAGTGAGAGGCTCTCCCACTCTCCTGGTGACAATCGCCTGCATCATTCCCGAAGGTGTATGGAGATACCTCGAGCCTTTGAAGAAGTTCTCGATTAAAGCTCTGTCAATCTTGTTGCACTTCCCGATGGCTGCCTCAAAGTTGTTACTGAGAACGCCATAGATATTCCCTTTGTCGTTTTTCTTACCAAAGAACAAGAAGAGGGCGTAACAGTCCTTGCCGATGGAGGTGCAGAAATCCACCATCCTCTCGTACATATTTTTGTTGCTGGACTCCTGGGCAATCAGGATGGAGTCGCTGCAGGCCTCTGAGGGGAAGTTCTCCTCGGCGTCCTGCATGTCGGGCAGGTGTAGGACCTGCACGGCAATCTGGATCTGAGGGTTCTTGGTGGGCTTCTCCAGCACGGCCCAAACCCAGTCAGCTCCCAGGAGGATGCGCTGCTCGGGCGTCATGGCTGTGCAGTTGAAGCTGTCTGTCATGTTGAGGTTGACGCTCTGAGAGATGTAGGTCATTAAAAAGACCTGTTGGAGGACAAGATATTTTAAAGACCATTTTTTGTGAAGTGCTGTCTTCAGTTTTTTTTTTCCAAGAATAAAGTTACCTACCTGAGTGAGCACCTCAGTGCTCGGGTGGAACTTGTCCTCCGGGTCTTTAAAGAGGAGGTATTCTTGAGTTCTGGATGAGGCGACAGCAATGCAATCATTGAATAGAGCTATGAAGTCGTTAGGTTTGGGGACGTTGGGCCTCCTCAGTGTGGAGAAGATGCTCGGTCGAGGGGGGGTGTTCTGCTGGTAGGAACGATGGCTGGAGTTGGCACGCTTAAAAGAGGAGAGAAAGTTGGAGTTCTGGAAGATGTTAGAAGGGGGTTTGCTGATGGTCTGGCCCATGGTGGACTGATGATGGCGGGAGATCAGAGGGTGGTCTCCCTGATACACTGGAAAGATAGATGTTGTACCATTAGATAGACTGTAATCGGAAATGGACATATGGTTAGTAAAAGCTGAGTCGAGTATTTTGATAATTGTGTTCTTGAGGTACAAAAAAACCCACCATCTGTATTAATGTTGTCCCACCATATGGAACCCTTGCTACTGTCTGCTCTTTTATTTAACAGTGGATGAATGATTATTTCTCCATGTTAAACATTAAAAATCTAGCAAACTCCTGTCCACCTATGCAATGCACCAATACAACAGGAATAACATGGAAGCTTTACGAATGATTCCAGATACTCACCAGGATAGGTCTGGAGGTTTCTGTAGTTCCAAGTCCACTACCTGCCCTCTGCTCCTGTCCCCTGCCCTGCTGAGATACACAGCGTGTGTATGTATGTGTGTATGGTGCTGTATGTAACGCTCAGTCTTCAGTCTCCTGACGTGTACAGAACTTTCAGTAGAATAAAGAGGATTTTCGCTAGGAAGTCTCAGGTGTGTAGGGGGAGTTCCTGCCGACAGTGTGCATGGGTGTGGTGTTTGTACCTTGTGAAATTTTAGGTAAGTCAACAAGAGACTCATCTTAGCCGCTTGAGTACTGGGGTAAGCCTGAAGGGTTTGATGGGTAAACAAAACGCTCAACTGTGTCTTTTCAGGAGGAGCAAATGAGGCCATGTAGGTCGGGTCAGTAGCTTTTAGTTTGGCTCTCTATTGTAATGTCCCATTAAAGGACGAGAGGGGAGTTGTACTTCTGATTTATGGAGTGGGGGGCTTACTAGTGTGTTAATGCAGGTAAGCAGATATACTGTATGTGCTTACATTACATTATACTGATACTACTGGTTAACCTCCTAATCCCTTAACATTAGCTGTTACCAATCAGAGCACCCAGCAGCGCTCGAGATTTAGGATGTTCCGATATTTTTCCGGTATATAATTCAGAAAAAAATTCTTGTGGTAAAATATTGGTGTCCCTGCAAAGTTTATCCAGCAGGGTGCGCTGTGATTTACAACACTGTGGCAAGCAGCACAGATTACGAGAGAAGAAGCAGCTCTCAGCAACTTCACCTAGAAGTGGTTGACAGTGTATATGTTCAATAAGTTAATATGTTAAAGAATACTTATCTTGTTTATTCTTGATTAAAGTTATTTGTTTAAGAAAGCAGCCTTCTGAGTACTTTTGCATAATCATATCAGTTACTCAGCACACTCCACATAGAAAAGGTCTATTTTCATTACAGCTCAAACATTCACCCTCTAAAATCAGTATTGGTTACAAAATGCCATTATTGTCAGGCTCTACCTATTAGTAACTTCATTTCTAGAAAGCAACTAGTCACAAATTTAGCAACTTTATTCATACCACCAGGGAAAGGGAGAGAAATATATTGTAATTCATTCCTGTGCAGTCCTCAGGCAGTCAGTAGGTGTGGCGTGTTGGGCGCATTTGACGTGCACTCTTTCTCTCTGGATTAGTGTGTTCCTATGTTACATGTAAATAGTTTGAGCTTGTAAATATTTAAATAGTTAATTTGACTCACTTCCTATGTTTTTAAGTTAAAATATACGATGACCCTGTTGTGAGTTTACAATTATTTGGCTAATTGGTATTAGTAATGTTCAAAGTGTGCGTATGTACATTTTAATCGCCGTATACCAACCAGAAACAGGTTTGCATTTGCACTGCCGTTTGCAGTGATGAATTTATTGATCAAACTGTTAGAAATAACCAAGAAACAGTAACTCAACACTGACTAAAAGAATAATGGAAACTGATTGTGGCCAAACACCTAGGGTGAGTCCTATTTTTTATTATTTATTGTTATATTATTATTTTTAAGTGCAGGGAACAACTAGCGGAGCTTCCAAAGTGAGTCAATGAAGCCATTTGAGTTACTGAAACAACTTGGGACAATGTTTGTCAAGTCTGGGACATTGAAACGTTCTTTTTTTTATTTCATTAACCAAACATAACAACATCTACTGCCCTACATGGCCACACTTGTCATTTGTGCAGTCAAACATATACTTTGTAAAAGCAGATTTAGATTTATACGTCTTTCCTAAATGGACAGTGCAGTTATTCTAACAAAAAATAGTGCTGTACTAGATCATATACTCAATTGGGGAGAACAGGGTCAAATTAAACATAATTTGTGCTTACACCAGACAAAATATTCTTCTCTTGTTAAAACTGTTGACCATACAGGGAAATTAGAGTTTGCAAAATACACATATATAAAATATATTCAACATAGACACATAATGGAAATACATGGAAATGTATCTTTGAATTACGTAAAGACATTTTTTGGCCTGCTTGGGGTGGACAATCTTGCCAGGCTTCTATGCAGTTATGGCCAAACTAACATCCTTTGGGGAAGTACTTGCAGCTACGGGGTGGGCGCATAGATTAGCATAGCATAGATGCTGCTTGCATCACTTATATATCAGAACTGGAGGTTATTTGTTCTTTGAAAGAAGAGCACAGAAATGGCACTGAAGGCTTTTCTCAATGGAAAAAATATTTTCACTCGTTTCCCGCCTGGCTTTGGTAAGAGTTTGACAACGTTATGTGGTTTGTTGATTGGTTAAAGTTCGCCCGTGGTAGATGGTAATAGTTCATCCAATCAAATGTTTTTTCTTTTCCAAACAGTTTCCAATGACCTCTTTCCAAATGGTTCTGTGTATCAAACCATCTGGCACAGCCAGGTTAGTGAGAGTGACCCTAAATGGTTAAGTTGCAGGCAGTAAAACCAAAACAATGAGATAAAAGATGCTAAAAAGCGGAGAAAAAGGGGAAGTCAAGTGATAATTCTTTGTGCATTCGTTACTAAGGGAACCAATTCCACATTACACACATTCATTGAATCCACTTTTTATATAACAATATAGATCAGTTCAAGTTTATTTATTTAGAATTGTAACCAAAGTACGCACAAAGCAGGACTTCTCACGTTTTAAGGTAAACTTGTCGGTGCTCTTTGGAGGACAAACTATGTAATGGTGACTCTGTTTCTAAATTAGCTCAAATATATCTGGCAATTCTGGAATGTGCTTGCTTTCTATGAGGGGTGGCTGTAGCTCAGGAGGCAGAGCCGGTCGTCCACTGATCACAGAGTTGGCCGCTTGTTCCCCAGCTCCTCCTGTGTACGTGTTGAACTGTCCTTGGGCTACACAGTGAACCACAAATTGTGCCGATGATTTGGTGAGCACCATGCGTGATAGTTTGCTGCCATCAGTGAGTGTGGAACAGGAAGCGAATTGTAAAGTGCATTAGATAAAAACTCTATGTGAATGCAGCCATTTACTTGTCGACTGACCTGTACGCCAATAAGATATATCCGTGATAAGCTATTATTGGCAGATAATATCGGCCATACTGATGTATTGGTTGGCCTCTAATGGAAGTTAATAGATTTCCACTTTCTCATGTTGATAAAGCTCCTTTCATTCACACATTTCATACATTACCATACCTGACTAACTTTCTTCTCTTCTCTTCACTTTCTTTTCATTATGCAACGGTTACTTCTTGGATGCAATGTTTTAGCTACAGTATCACTGATTCTGTCTTTCAAAATGATCTGTAAACTGTCCCTGGACACCTGATGAACTCTCATCACACCCCTGTGGTCATTTCACCACCACCAGTGTCAGTACTCCGGGCCAATTCTATCTGGCTCTTTTTTAGAAGAAAGGATACTATTAGGATATTGTAAGGATATAGTATGATTGCCATAAAACAAAGGATGGCTATTGTAATCCTGTTCTCCCCTTTCATATACCAGCACAGTATATACAGTATATACAGTACACAGTGGTCAGTATGATTATTAGAGCGTACATTGCATAGGGAAACAAGTAAAGCAGTAGAAAAGAAATGCCCCAAATGGATAATGAGTAACAGTTTAGTTCATTATTGTAGAAGTTAAAAAAAGATTTTTGTAAGCAACCTTTGATTGTTTTCTACAGTGTCCACTGGTGTCCGTAGGTGCGCTGTATCTGCAGTGTGACTGTGGGTGTTACATGAGGTATCAGCAGCTAGTAGAAGTAGATGTAACAACTCCACGCTGCAGTGTTAGGCCGGGGCTTGAGGTTCAGTGCAGGTGCCAGATTGGTTGCTACAGGTCTCTGTGGTTGATTGACAGCATTAGTGAGCCAACGGCGTCTGGTCATTGTCCTTCATACAAGCGCTGTCTGAGACCGCCTCATCTCCTTCCGTAGCTCGTCTCGGCTGAGCAGGTACTGGAAGCAAAGCATCATGGGAGTGGTAATGGGTTAGAAAGCTTGGGAGTGGGTGTTTGGTACTGAGCTGGGATCAGTTAACACAGTTAGCTTCAGTCTATATGAGGATATTGTAAACAAATAAGACCATCAGAGACTATTATTTTGTGTCATATTTCTTTATGGTACAAAGCAGAAGAAACAGCACAACAGTAAACTTTGACTTAAGAGCCAACATTAGGTTTATGACAAAGATTTATGGGAAATGTGGTCCTGATGTACAGTACCACTAGGAAAGGCTTTCAACTGTGTCATCAAAGGCCTCATTTGTTATTGTAAATGATACCAGTTATATCTAAAATGCTACACGTAACATATAGCACCTTGTGAGATATATAAGGAGAACTTATCCCAAGTCAGCATCACCATCTTCACTGCAGAGTTAAGCAACAAGAACCTTTTTCACAGCAGATGTTTTGACTTGAAAGCCACAGGTTGACCTGATAAAATTAAAGGTGTTTTTTTGCTACTTTATTGTTTGTAATTACTTTGTAGATTCAGATATTTCCATACAAAACATACTCATCAGTATATTTAGTAGTCACAATTCGCTCCACATTAGACTCACCAGCCAGTCTCTAAACTCTTTGATCAATGAAAACAGAGGACTTGCTTCCAGGTCTAGACCGTACTCCTTATAACATTATTTACAGAGATCCAACAGTTGGGGCGATGGTGGCAAGAAAAACCTTCCTTTTAAGAGGCAGAGAACCCTCGGACAGAACCTGCCTCGACCACAATACAGGATCCTGGATCTAGCTGACCTACACAGAATGCAATGTTGTCATTGATGTAACTGATTGCACCTGTGCTTTTCATGCTGTGACATCGCAGAACGTCTGCTGTGAAAAAGGTCTATTTTTTCATTATCGGTCAGATTAATTTAGGCCGTGGCCTTTTTAGTACCATGGGAAACGTAAACATTTTAATTGTTTCTGAAATAATAAATGAAAGGGTTAATTTACGATGTTATACATTTGCTTTTAAAAGGTTTATTAAAAAATAACTAAAATTTAAATAATGGTGTGGTCTTACAGATTCTTAGACTGTATACTGTACTGTACTGTAGACTGTACTTTGAAATGACACTCTTTAAAATAAGGCTAATGTGAACTGGTTCACAGGTGATGTTGTTTTAGGAGGCTAATAAGAAGTGGTTTCACATGTTTGCTATCCAAAGCCTTGGGGTTCAATTACTGAGATGACTTCAGCAAACAGAACGGCAGCAAAAGAACCAAGACTGGCATCTGGCTGATAACAGCGAGTAATGAAGTACCAGCGAGCAGGTTTCACTCTGGAAGTCATCGTGTTATCATTATCACACAGATCTGTGGTGTTTTATTGTTGTTTCTCCCTGAGATAAACTCCAGAGCTTTCCGTCTGAGTGACTCAAACTTCTGCTAACCGACGAGGAGCAGTTACTTGGTGAGTGAATCAGCTGCACAAGTCATTACCAGCAGCTTGTGTGTGTTGGTGCTTACTGTGAGGTTGTTGATGCTTTCTGACAGAGCCTCTATTTGCAACATGGTACCCTCTGCGATCGCCATCTGCCACACACACACACACACACACACACACACACACACACACACACACACACACACAGGGTCTCATGAACCCATTATAAGTCACGATTACAGACAGATTTTCAGTGAATCAATGATTCCGAGGCTTTAGTATATAGCAATTCATACATTTCTGTAAGTATGCTGAGCTATACATTGCCACTGAGCCATACTCAAACATGCACTTCCCATGTCATTTTTAACAGGGTTGCCATGGTAATGGTCAGCAGCCATCTTGGCACAGATTGGTCCGCCGAGGGGGAAGCTGGTGTCATAAACAGCCATGACAGCCACCATGATGGTGAGGATGATGATGAAAGCAGGTTAGTGGTTGATGCAAGTTACTCAGGCGAGTCATTCTGTTCCTGTGCGTTCTCTCAAAGCTTAAAAGTTATTCGGTACCACATCTGTTTTTCTTTGTCTTTGGGATTGGATCGATTATGTAACAGAAAAAGTGCTTGCTTCGTGAAGAGAACATGTCCCTAATATGTTGTACATCCAAAATAAATGAATACAATAATTAAAAACTTAAATCCACTGCTTTATACTTCTACTCTGACCTTTCTGCCATTTGTGTACAAAAAAATGAATCAACTTTACACACGTATCATTTTATTTATTAAATGATTTGATCAATCTTTACATTTACATGACCACATGTAAGCTTCCTTTGCGGAGCAGTATTTTCTTACTATAAAAATACTATTACAGGAAATATGAAAATAACAGTACAAAATCACCACCTCAGGTTCAAACTAAACATGCTGTTTTATAATTTCCTCTGCAATGACATAAATATTAAATAGAATCCCTCCATAATATTATGCAAATATTGCACAAGTTCATCCCAACCATGTGACAAAACTGTATTCAACTGGCAAATCAAAGTTATAAATGATGCGATGACTGACTCACACATATAAAATCATCTAATGGTGGTGCACAGTTGTTAGAACAACAGTTTAATACTGTACAACAGGAGCAGTCCATATATGGGTTACAGGAAGTGGAGTCCAGAGAGATGCTGTCTGTGTTCTCTCATGATGAGTTAGATCATGGCACAGGTTTGAGGCTGAGGTTGGGTTAGTTAGGCATCTGACTGGAAGTGAAATCAAAATACTTAAAGTGTGTAGATTCATTGTGTCAGTACACCCTTCAAAACCAGCAGCTGCTGCTGTGAAACAGTCAGGCAGGTTTATCTGGGCGTCTCTGAATCTCTTCACTCGTAAGGCACAGGGTCGGGCTGATGGGCGGGGGGGTGAGAGGAGCAGGGAGAGGGTCGGCTGAGGTATTAAGGGCTGCAAGCAAAGGAAGCAGAGTAGTAGCAGTGACAGCTGATTGGCTGATGAAAAGCGTGACAACACAGTATCGCCATGTTGTTGTCACAGCTGTCATGGAGATGGGTCAGCTCCGCTGCCGTCGAGCCCCACCTGGTCCCTGGAGCGGTCCGACTCTCGGTCCAGGATGGGACTCAGGCCTCTGAAGCCGGCGTAGGGCCGGACCTGCACCCCGTTCACCGCAGACTGTCCCGACTGAGGCGAGGACGACTCGATTGGACAGACGTAATCTGTGGATTCATCCGGCCGTCTCCTCCTGAGGTGAGTCAAGTTAGAGAAGCCCAACTTCTTCGGCTGCAAAGAGAAGACACGACAGAGAGATATGACTAACTGATCAATAAAAGTGACAGAACCACAGATCACCTGAAAGCGTATCAGGATCATTTTTGTTTATTACAACTTGGATCTTATTTTTTTATAGTTTTGGCTATCGTTTCTATCACCTACGATAACACTGTACAAATCAAACGTATTGATTAAATGAGGGAACAGGACCAGAATCAAAAAGTCCCACAATCAGACATTATTTTAGCCAGATTATCTGAACCACTTTAACTGGAGGAGAAACCCAAAGAGGATGCACCTGAACACCAAAAACAGCTAGTTAAAGGTGAATCAGGAAGTAGGTCTACACACTGTGATGGATGTTAATAAAGGAGGTTTTGGGTAATAATCTGTTTTTCCTTCAAAATTCTCTGACTTTGAATTTTGATTGGTCTGCTTGTGTTTCTTGCCATGAAATGAAGCTGATTAATAATCTTTAGATACAAGGTGCACGTTACTGGCAGGTGAAAGGTCTTCTGTTCTGTGTCATCTCAACCTCAGTCACTGTATACAGGGTTTTTATATCCACATTTTAGTGTTGCATTCAGTGCATGTGAGTAAGAAATGATACCAGGCAGCAACAGACAGCAGCTTATAAAAATGTGTCCTCTAAGCTTGCTCTTGCTGACCATAGCCACTGTGATATTATCACTCAGTAGCTGAGTGGCCACACACACACATAAATAAATCTATTTTTGTGGGGTTTTCTTTAGATTCACAGTCTACCAGGTTATATATTTGTCCACATACCATCCACATAAATATTTAGTGCTCAGAGAAAAGCTTAAGAAATTTAAGATCCAAGTATCCAAGGTCATAAATGGGTCAACAGCAAGTGTGCATTGTGTTTTAGGGTGGATTATTCCTCCATTTTTCTTCAGCAGAGCACAGAGGGACTTAGAGCTGAGGCTGCGGCTGATGGCTGGCTCTTAAAGCTGTGAGGAGGAGCAGAGCAGTCCCGGGTTTACTCTGCTCTCACCAGCTTAAACACACTGAAGGGTTTAGAGCTTAAACTGAGCTGACACACCAAGGTTTCACCTCAGATTAAGGTGCTTTCTCTCACAGAGGAAGAGAAGACGGGTTAACTGTGTGTGAGTTCTCTTAATGCAGCATTGTTGCCTCTGAGAATTTTCTCTTGTATTATCTTACCTTGACTTTAGCTGTGATGCTGAGTGGGGTGTACCCCGCCGCCTCAGTGTACTCCCTCTTCTCATGCTGAGCTTGTGCTCCCACCAGGCTGTTGAAGTTGGTGGTTAGGTGGCGTCTCAGGAGTGTTTTCTGAGGAGGGATGTTCAGCAGCATGGCCAGCGTGTCCGAGTTAAACCGAGGCTCCAGCATCTATGAGAGGAGAGACAAATTCAAGATGATGTTTCTGTAGTGTTTTTGTTTCTTTGTCCCAAGTGTGGTTACATGTACTCACTACTAGCCCTCCGTGCACGCCGCTGCCCCTCAGGTTTGGTGCGTACTCTGCCAGATCCACAGATCTCAGCCACTCCATGACTCTGTGGTTGGACCACTGGACCACCTCAGAGGGAGTGCACTGGTTCTGAAACACACACATGAAGATACACAAATGAATGAAGTCTGTTTTAGACATCACAAGCAGATTTTCAGTTTGTATGGAAATGAATGGAAACAAATGGCTGTATGAAACACTAGGAAATATTGAAAAATCTAAAACGGTATAACCTGCCTTCAAAAATGGTTAGCAATAATGTGAACTTTACACGAGTCAGAGTTCAGGCAAAGCAAGACAAGTTTGTATAGTAATTCAGAGTGCTGTATGGCAAATGCACATAAATAGGAGTTTAAAAAAGTGAAATAACAGAAAAGAAAATAAACCCGATAAAATGAGAATAAAAGTTACAATGCAGCACAGGATGCAAATGTATAGTCTAAATCCGAGAACAAAAGTTTCGGTTTTTACAAGAATTGTGCTGGGATGTTCACATGGACACACACACACACACACACACACACACACACACACACACACACACACACACTGACCTCATTGCCTGGCCTGCGTTTGAGGCAGTTGGGGTGGAACTTGTTGACATGGAGAACATGAATGGCGCACTTGACGCTGAGGTGATGCAGCTGGCTGGTCACTTTAAGGAATAACAAGTCATTCTGAGATGGAGAGAAGACAAAGAGATGAGTGCAACTATAACAACGGAAAGATAAAGTGAGCATCAAATCTCTGCATGCAGGTTTGTGCTACACCAGTTTTATCCCTGAGGGGGTGAAACAAGTGCTTTAAATTCATGTGTTTTTAATAAATCTCATCTTCCATGAACTGTGATTTAATGGTTATTATTTGACCATCACCATTATCATCATCATCAAACTCACCACAGTGAGGTACTGCAGCATCTGCCCATCCACTCTTCCGTCATTAAACTGGTCCTTGTACTGCGGAAGGCCGATGTCATCAAGCCAACCTTTGGAATATAAAATATCAGTTTTTCTGTGAGGGAACCTCAGAGTGTAGTTCTGTCACTGAGTGTTTTGTTTCAGTACGTACGGGTGACCCAGACGTAATCGAGCTCTGCGGACTTCTCAGGCTGCTTGCTGCTGAGCGTCTTGATGGCTAACTGCAGCTTCTTCCTGTGGAGCGGATTCTTCATCGCCAGCTCCTGGAGACAAAGTGGAAGAAAAACTTATTTCATCTTGTCACTGATAGTTAAATCTTAAAGACGACATTACGGTTTCACCTGAGGAAGAAAGAATGTGCCCCCATTGGAGTGAATTATCTAATTAAAATGATCCTGTTGAGAGAGACAGAGAGTTTCGGGGGCGTTTGAGGTGGACAATGTGACAGTGTTGAAGGCGAAACTAACGCGCATTTTGAGAAGCAGAGACAGGCGTTGCTAAATGCCAAACAGACAGACAGACAGCAGCAATGATCAGACAGGTAGAACTGAAAAATATTTGACAGGCTGAATGGAAGATTATTTTGTCAGGTAAACCAACTGAGCCGGACAAATGTCTCCATATATAGTAGGTGGTGTGTGTGTGGGTGTGTGTGTTTACCCTCTCTAGGTCTTGCGGGGTGGCCGACAGTAGAGTCTGACCGCCGGTGACCCAGTGGCGAGCGAGGATGCCGTACTGACCGAGTCCAATCTCCTCAAGCCAGTCACACACCTGCTCTGCGCTCCACTTAGAAAGAGGCATCTTCAAGTCTCTGACGTGGTGAGGAGAAAAAGGATGAACATTGAAGAATAAGGGACCACATGCTGTAGATTCATCAATCCAGCCAGGTACAGTTTACAATTCATGTTAGGAAAATATAAAAATGACTTTGCTGAGACATGAAACTTATAATAATAGATAATAAGCCATGAATAGAATTACGTAAACTTGGCTTTTGGATTATAAAGGCAGTGTCCAAGTAAGATGGTAGTGCAATCTTTGTAATACAAACATCCTATTACCATAGGTCAAATAAGAGCTTAACAGACAACTAGTTTCATCAGTCTCTTTCCCTGTATGAGAATATATAGTGTGTGAGAGTATCATTTTTATACCGTGTGTTCCCTGAACGGGCCAGTCTTGGTCCAGCTGTAGCTCTGAAGCCACCCCTCTTGAACTCCGCCAGCTCGGGGTCGTGAACCTGGGCAGGACTACCTGACTGGCTGCGACGGATCCTGGGGACAACCAAAATACAGATGAGTGTGTGAAGGAAAACTGGAAAGAGGTAGAGAGCCTGAGAGAATGTGGCTGTGAGTGTTAATGTATAAGTACTGTACATACAGTATGTGCACACATATATATCTTCAAAACTTACTTCCCCCAGAGTTTCTTAATGCCTCTTTGACTTTTCCTGTTCTCTGGTGAGACAGGGGACTGCTGTCCAGAGTCCACTCCAGAGGACAGAGGGGACTGGTCTGATAGAACACACTCCTCTAGCTTCTCTGGATGCCCTGCCAGACAAAAACCCAAGAATACAATCATTGATACTACTAATTGTGAGAGTGAATATTCCTTGGCTTGGCTCAAACATACAATCCATGTCCACTGTATGTTTGCTCAAAGCACCCTTCTGTTCTGTTTCTTACATTGGTAGCCTATTTTACATGTTGTACATGGCTATTAAATAATATATAGCTTCCTGAAAAGCACTATACAATTAAAGCTGAACCAATATTGTTTATATTAAAAATCACTACTTTCAATACTTTGTGTATTATGAGAAGTCTTTGCTAACACATTTTCCATTAAGTTGTAATAGTGTGTTGCACTTTTTGTTGTATACTAGACCTTTTTCAAAGCAGCCATTTTAACATTAAATAATAGGGTAAACACAGGTGTTATCAATGATAATATATAATTGAAATATAGTTTGAGTTCTATTGTCAAAATGGCTGTAAAAAGGTCTATTAATGTAGCTAACAGAGCAACTCCAAATGGATGCTAATGATGCTCTGTCTGATAGATATGTAAATAACTGTTTGCTAACACATTAGCCAGAACTACATATTTATTATTATTTATTTATTTTGCTAACAGCAAATGTCCAAAGAAAACCAACTGATGCAGCTTTAACAGTTGCCTCATGGAGTACCTGATTAGTAGCTGTAAGCCTCATAGTGTCATAACCATACTTCAAAACATGTTCTCATTTCCTGCTCATTCAGCCCGGCACAGAAATTATACAGTCGTTCTAAATGAATACAACAATGCTTCCAAGAATTCAGTTAGTGCTCCTCATGAAGCCTATATGAGTTCTCTTCTATGTTGTAGACACTACAAAGAACTACTTTGGCTATATGATTCAGTCAGTCTCACCAGCATGGTAACCCAATTACACACTGGGGCTGAGATGCAATACCCACCAACATCATAGAGGTCATGTTTTCCAGGAGATCCTGGGGCACAGGAGGTTAGTGAAGTGAGAAGAAAAGCAAGCAGACAGAGAGCAGAAGCGAGCATTAGTCACACCCTCTTTATCTCCAAAATAAATGTTATACACATGTTTGGTGTAATAAGCAGCAACATGCAAATCTACTAGCCTCAGGCAGGAGCCAAACCGGGCCACAGAGTCAGAGTCTAAGTCTGCTTGTTTACATGAAACTCATTTTATTCTTCAGATACTGAGAGTGTGGGTGGCTCTTTGAAGCTTGTCAGTGTTCAAGTCATATATCGCTACCTCATTACATCATGAATATAAGTGTTTGTTCTTATTCTACACCTGTGTACTTTGAGCACTTGCTCAACTTGCTCTTTCTCAGCGACGTCCTGCTTCAGCCTGTCAGTGAGAGTGTGCCAGGTGAGGCAGTGAGAGCAAAAGCAGGGGGGATGTCAGGTTGCATCCTTGTTTGTTTACTGTGGATGTCTAAGCTAGCTGAACTGCACACATCCTTAAAGCTCGCACTCCTCGCCCTCTCACAGCCGTCTGATTACCCTCCTGCTTTAAGCTGTGTCTCTGTGTAGGCCGATACATGGGTGTGTGCTTATATGCCTTTTAGCTTTAAGTGTGTGTGTGTTTCAGTGAATGCTGATGCGAGAGAGCTGGGCATTATCTTCGACAGCTCTCTGAGTCATGAGGGAGTCCTAATAATCCCGGCTTTAAAGGAGCTTGATCCTCGGTGAAAACGGTGGCTCACCCTGACTCTGCTCACCTCTGAGGTTTGGCTGTGGCAGGGACTATCTTGTTTTGTTTATGAGATAACGGAATTTTGTTTGTCAGACGGCTTGTTTGTATGACTAAAGACTCAGAGCAACAACATCAGCGAATTGACTCAATTCTCCTAAAAAGTTTGTTTCCGGTGTTGACATTTGAATTTCTGTGTGAGCATACAGTACCTAAAGCCGGAGCACTGGCACTCCTGCAGCGAACTGCAGCCACAACACAAACAGAGAAAAAAGCGATCCGACAGCGAAGCAGACAGGAGGAGGAGGAGGAGGAGGAGGAGGAGAGAGGGACAAAGGGCACAGAGGAGGAAGCAGTTTTAGCAAAGTTAGTTGACAAAGAGTTACTCAACAGTTACAGATGATAAATTAGATTTTTTGGCAACATTAATTTAAAAAAAAGAATTGCCCCACTTAACCCCTGGGGTATTATTTAAGTAGACAGTTGTGCTCTGCTGGGGAATTCTCTACAACCGAGGTCACTGGAAGTTCATTTGCAGTGCTTACAGCAGCAACCGCAACGTCTCTTTTCAGAAACAATGGGCCTCATGCGAGAACATGGTTCTTATCCTGAACTTCTCTCACTTTTTTCAGTGAGGTTTGGTCGTATGAGTGTTTCGAGTCAGATGCACCAAACTCTCCTATAGCTGCACAAAGTTGTTATGAATAGCTTATTTCAACACGAACTGTACATGAGGAGGTGTCTGTCGGGGAGGTTAGCATAATCAACAGTATAAAGCTGTTCTAATCTTTCCTTATGGGCACATTTCATTCACAAAAACCCAAAAGTTACTCCAGAGTACAAAGAAGAATTCACACAGCGGAGCCCTGCTGTCAGACATCATCAAACAAGAACAGAACACCTTTAGCAGAGTTATAAAGACCCAGAACAAGTTATAAAATATTAATACGCTGCCAACAATGTGTTATTGGGGCTGTCAGAAAAGCTGTCCATGAGTAATATGAGAGGGGGTCAAACGGATGTTACGGTTAGGAGACAATATGATGGCCTGCAGCGGGTGATACTGGGCAGCAACCTGTATAAAGACCCTGAGGCAGTTTTCTGACTGCAGAAGACTACAAGGCTTTTGCCACAGTTTGCCTGTCTTGGTCAAATTTCTTTGATCTGAGATCAAAACCCTAGAGTCGGTGCAGAATCCACGCCCATGCCCGTCACTTTTCAGGTGTGATGGTGTGGATATATGTATCTGATGTCTCAGTAGAGCACTGAGGCAAATGCAGTAAAACAAAACATTCAAAAGTTCAGTGTCAGTCAAATTCAACTTTATCACAACACAAACCAAAACTCCAAAGAATGGGGTTTAGTTTATCTTTTATTCCTTTAGTTAGTTTAACTATGTTGCTCTCTAGATAACTGTGTGGTGCGCTCACTTTACATCTGATCTTATTAATAATCCTGTAGATTAAAAGTCAGTTTTCTTTTTTCAACCATCACCTTGCTTGTGGTTCCTGTACATCAATTCTGTGCTATTTTTATAGTTGCCCTTTTGTTTGATACATACATCTCTTACATCTGGGGAAAAATGCAGGTGGCTTTCTGTTAAATATTGCAATAATTTAATCCAGTCTTTGATTCACATCTGGTCTGAGATCAGTTGTGTAGTTTTTGTACCCTCATGTAAACGTGACAAAAATGTGTTATTTTGTTATATTAAAGTTGCATATTTTGTCTTAATATATTTCGATATGATATTTAAACTCCAAATTCCTTCAAAATAAGGAATTCTGTACATGATTGGACTATTAAAATACGAAGGGAAAACTCTACATTCAAGAAAATGTAATGGTAATTAAAAAGTCTAATGTGCCATTTAACTACATATTAGTTTATACTGATGGTTCTTGCATGAGGCCCAATGTCCCACAGACTTCACCTTTCATTAAACAGTTAGCTTTCAAAAGGTAGAAAATAATCAGTATTACAGTATGTTTTCAAAGTCTGACAGGCGGCTGCAGAAGCAGTGAAACAGACTTTATATGTCCCCTGTTGGTTAGTGATGTAGAAACTCACTGAGGCTGTAGTCCTGCTCGTGGCTGTGGACGGGAGAGAAATATTCTCCGTCTCCCTCTCTGTCGCCATTGAGCTCGGCCCTCAGCTCGCTCTTTTTACAGCGTTTCCCTGGCAGAGTCTGGTACTTGCTCAGCTCCAGGTGGGGATTCTGCAGAATAGAAAAAAACACTGTGTTACTTTTTTAGTCTGGTCTAGAGCCCAATTTCAAATACATGACCATAATTTGTGATGAAAGTATGAAAACAGACGCCTACTAGCCTTTAGTACAATGTTCTTCTTAATAGTTAAGTTTAATCGTAATAAGTGGACACATTTTTCTTTCTGCTTCTGATACTCACAGCTTAAATACATCCAAACTACTACACTGTTATTTTAGGTTGTAAAGTTATTATAGCATATCACATTTCCTCTGCATCTCTATACAGGCTGGTCAGTCCCATCTACATATCTTTGGTAAGATAACAGTGGAGTCATGATTTGATTTTTTTTATTTTGCTCCTTTGCCCTGTTGCATAACAGAGTGTCCTTTGGAGGGTGAAGATGCCAGTATCTGAGCAGGCATCAAAGTCAGTGGGGTTCTGAAGGAATAAGAGGAGAAAGGCCAGCAGAGAGAAACAGCTGGGAGGCAGCCATGATGCCGAGCACTACTGACAGCCACTTCAGGTGGGTCTTGACCCTTTATGTGTGTTTATGAACACAGTATGATTATGTGTTTGCCTATGTGTGTGCAGCATGAGCATCTGTGGAACTAAGGATATGTGTGTGTGTGTGAATGAGTGTAAGGCTGTGATCATATTTCCCTCTTACTCAGAGGGAAACCTCGGCTGTGAACTTTGCTTGTCACACTGGGAACACAAGGTCAAAGGGCAGCTGGAGCATTACATCACTCTCTGTGCTGTACAACACAAGGCTCAAGACACACTTAGTGGGGATGCATAATATGGATTTTTCCCCCAGCTGTTACGATAACAAATAAAATCACATTTTTGTATTTTAAAAAGCAAACCTGTAGTTGATGCACACCTGAGACGTAGTGAGCAAAGATTGATGATTCAGTAGTCTATAGCTCTGTTCTAACAAAATCTACGTTGCTGAGTAGTTTTGTATACGAATTCAAAATAAATTATTATGCAACGATAATTTGTCAGCTGTAATTTATCGGGATAATTCATGATAATAAACATGAATGAAAATGTGTACCTAATTAGTATTAGTATTACCTAGTTAATCTCAGTTTAGCAATTAGCATTTCACCGGCAACAGTCAATCACAAAGGTGAAGTGCTGTATATACTAGGTATTGAGCCTCTGTGTAGCACACACTTGTTTCTACAAGTGTTTAAACATCTTAGTGTCTACACTGTATCAGACTTTACCTCTGTGTGGCTACATGTCAGAGATATTCAGCCTGAAATGCTCCAGCTGCAGATCCTAAATGCATCCAAAATACCAGGTGAACAATTTGATACTTATGATAATAATAATAACAACAATGGATGAATAAAATAACAAAAGCAAGCACCCTATGGGTTGATGATCTAAATTTGTAGGGATGTGTCTGTGTACATGCGTGCATGCCTTGACTGCATTATGTACTTGTATAACTGGAATGGAAAACTTCATAAGAGAAACCCTCTGCTGGACCCTACCCCTGCTGTGTTATAAACAGTAATGTATAGTGTTTGTGTTTCTGGGAGTTAGGAAAAGGTTAAGTTGTGTTAAGTCATGCAGAAGATTAGTACCTCTGCCCCTACGTCTGATTCAGTTTCAACTGGCTGGATCTCTACAGCCTATATTATCACAGACACAGGAGAGAGGAAAGACAACACACACAAACACGCACACGCACACGCACACACACACACACACACACACACACACACACACACACACAAAGCCAGAGTTAGCAGGTTAGTAATCAGCTTAAACATTAAAAGAACAAAGTTAGTGTGCATGTTAAAATCTGGTATTTCAGAAGCAGCAGCAGCAAATATAGCAGTAGCAGTAAGCAACTGATTTGAGGTGCAATAACAGACCTTTTGTAAGGATCCACTCTGTAACTCTTCAAGGCTGCTAGACAGCAACCTGCGCTGGTGCCTGGAAACAAACAACAGACTTCAGAGTTAGAAAAAAGAAAAGATCTGCCATCATATCATTCCTGTCTGACTTAGCACCCATATGACAACATAGAACTGAAGTAATACACACACAGAAAGTTTCAACTTACCAGGATCCATTAAAGAGGCTTGTATCCCCAGTGGACACCAGCGACGTGTCCATAGAGTGCTGGATACTGCAACAAATGGCACACGAGGGGGAAGATTAATAGAAAGTTGTGAGACATGTGTGTGTGCATGTGTATTTTGAGTGTTTATACCTCAAGTCTAAATCTCTCTGGTAAGGAGACGAGGATAACATTAGTGGAGAAGACCCTCTTGATGACATCTATGCAGAGAGAAAACATTATTTTGGTTTTTCAGTTCTTGTAAGCAATACATCAGTGGAAATTATAGATTGTAATAAAGGTTGTATACTCATCATCTTACCTCTGACCTGAGGACATCAGAGTGTGCTTTGTGTGTGATGGCTCGGAGTCTTAAACTGCCACTCAGCTCCTCTTCACTACTCCCTGGTTGGTAAAAACACAATATTAGACAGCACAACACCGTTAGAAAAAACAGGAAGGAGTGAAGAAAACATTGTGCAATATTTCCTGAGTTGTAGCTCATCCAAAACTCATATCTCTCATAAGAAAGAAAAGGATGTAATTTTTACCTTGTGTGAGTGCCATGACCTCCCTCATCTTTCTGTACTGGCCGAGCAGAATGGTCAGCTCCTCTATACGTCGATCCTGTTATCAGCAACACACACATATTTAGCATTTTGTAAAATGACAGGGCCCCTTTTTTTCATTAAAACAAACAGGAAAACTCTCATAACAGCAGTGATGTACATTTACCTTTTCATCATTTGAGGCTAACAAAGACTCCATCCCCACTTTCAACCTCTGGTATTCCTGGTCTAACAAAGAAAAACGAGGCATTAAAATGTTATTTTGGACTCTCGGTAACCTCATGTCTTGTATTTGGGGCGTGATGGGTGCCAGATGCAATGCTGGCGACAGACATGACAGCCATGCTAATATGAATAAACAGGCAAAACAAATAGGCACTGACAGCGCGACTGCCCATACACCATCACCTGGGACAAACACTGAAGCTTCTCATGATGACAGCACTGATGTTGTCTATAGCGACGGTGCCAATACCAGCAAAAAAACAAGAGTTGTCTTCTGGATTGCATAAATTACATTTTCATATAGAGATGAGGCCTTTACAAGCAACACAATATGACACACACACACACACACACACACACACACACACACACACACACACACACACAAACCTGCGCCCGATTCAATATCCTTTCAAATACATCTTAAAGGGGAATTCCAACAATTTTTAAATGTGAGTTTACTAGTACTACTCTGCCTATGAATACAGCTGTATAACGTCTTTGTCAAGTCTGCCACAATAACCCTGCTTATGTCATCGTGATGTCATCAGGGTTATCTCAGCTAGGGCTGGAGACTATAAATTTTGAACAAAAACAAACATAAGGAGGGTCTAATGAAAAAGATGCTATCAGTTGCATTGTGGGGAATGTAGGAAGCAGTGTCTCTGGAGCTTGAACCGTACTAAAGCCTAAACATCAGGATATTCTGGCTTCTGCTGCATCGATTTTGACTGTTATTTTCTTTTGTCTGTTCAGCGCCCCAACTTCTAATGGAGGTATAATATACTAAATTGCTGGATAACCCCTTTAAAATATTGGGCTCATTGCAGGCAAACCAAAGGAGACTCAATTTTATACACGCTGATACCAAGGCCACTGAGAACTCTCAGTTCTGATTGTAGGGTGTGGACCATAACCAGACTCAGTTTCTTAATGCCCCAGCATTACGTTTTAGGTAAAGATAGCGACAATAGGGCTTAGCTAAAAAAAAAAAAGGGTTTTATTTATGTAACCAAACAAACCAGTAAAACAAAAGAGATAAATAGCTTCTCAATCAGAGCCACGCAAATGTTTGCTTCAAATGTTTCCGATATTCATGTTAGTCTTAATGGCGGAAAGAGAGGACTTTTGAAACAAGGCTAGCTAAGGTGAAGCTACTGTAATAGCCTGTGCGGTGTGAGGGACTGCTACAGGAGAGGGAGGGAGGACCAAAGAGTACATGCAACCAAAACAGGACAGGACGACAGGAATCCTGAGGTCTGGGAACTAGGGTAGTAGGAACTATATTTCTTGATGTTTAAAACCGAAAAGTGAGGTCAAACTTAGTCATATGAGTAAATAAACGACTCAAAATTTTAATTTAATGGCACTTTGTTGGAAGGTGGCCATAGCATAAGCAGTATAATACCCTCCAAGTATTGGTGCATTGCCAACCAGAAGGTTTGAAAGGATTTACAGCACTTTTATTGAAGCTGGAATGTTTACCACGACCAACACCAACTAAAGCTCAGCTGTGGTCCAATCTCAACCAAACACTCTGCTACCAGTTAAACATTTAAAGTGAGCACTTGCTGTTTTTATGTTTCAGGTTTGTTAAGACTTGAATTAAAATGACAATGAGCAAATATTTGAAGTTACACATCATGACCAAAACAGAGAAATCGAGGTGTCAAGCGGCTGTGTAGGCAGAGGAGTTTAGTTGAAAATTAGAGCCACATCAAAAGCACACCAAGCCTTACATTTGTTAATCAGCTGCTTGACATACACCTCCTCTACAGCAGAGGGCAGCAGAGAGTCAAAAACAAGTCCAGTATACAGCAGAGGAGAGAGGGACATGTTGATTAGATGTTACAGTAATCAGAGTTGAAAGACATGCATATCACTGGCTCTCACGCAAACATCCGCACTAACAGATGTGGATCTGAAGTGATTGGTCAGACTGTCAGCTGTGTGTACCTCTCTCTGCGTTGTCATTGGCTGTACCACCTCTGGCTAGCAGCTGGGTCTGCAGGCATTCAATCTCAGCATCTTTGGAGGCCAGGAGCTGCTGCAGCTCTGAGATTTCTGCCTGTGGAGGAAGGCAGAGTACATATCTGTGAACTGAACTTCCAGGTCAGTGGGTATCCAAGAGTTATGAGGAGTTTTAAGTCTAAGTCTTGGACTTGCAGCGTCCTCTTAAACACAAGAGTATTTTTCAGGTCAGGCTCAGAATTTAAATTCTATATGTGATTTACATGTTGATGTACCATCCCACTCGTGAGAGCAACCGGCCACATTCAATGAGGTGTGAAATGTTGTCAAATCACTTGGGTAATGATATTAGACGACACTGTGAGCTGTTGATAATGCAAGTCTGTCTCTTGAAAACACAGACCATTAGACACTGGGAAGACAAACCAAGTATGAACCTATCGTGGTGTCACCCTTGGTTTGTGGACAGTGTGATCTGAGTTTTGTGCGGTGCACTGGAAGGACTCACTGAGAATGACTTGTCAGTCCCAAGGTAGCCATGCCCCGAAGCATACCCAGCTTTATTACTATATTACTGTATTTTACTCTAAATTAGACCATCATTTACCAAATGAACATCATTATGTATTGGAGAAGACTGAAACTGAAACTAGAGATTGAGATCATAAACTCATTAGGAAACTGTATACTGAGCTAATAAGTCAAGTGAGAAGTCGGGTCATTTCTCCAAAAGACTCAATACTATCAGACTTCAATCTGCAGCCCATGGAGCTTCATCCTGCTGGCCATTAGACAGAATGCAGGTGTAAGTCACTGTACACTAGTTATACACTGTCAATGAGATAAAGCAGGTACTGAATAAGCCCATCGCCAATCAAATGAGGGCTAGGTAATTACATCATGACTAAGCTTGCTGAGCCACATATGACTGGAATACACACCTAAAGACAACTATTGTTAAATGTGTTGAAATCCCCCACCAGCTTTCTGTTGCATATCCACGTTTTTTTTTCACCTCCTCTATTTTTAGCACCGCCTTCATAAATTGTAGAAATTTCAACCAAAACCCACCCCAGTTCTCTCCATATCTACACACAGTCGACACTATAAGTATATATCTGCACTCTGGGAAAAAGATCCAGACTATAGTTGCTTCTAGTTTCAAACAGCAACAAGGATCTTTCATTTTGGCGGCCCCTGTGGACAAAAGTGATAATGTGTCCCCTGCCTCATTTATTGTTTTTAGAGGAATCCGACCAAATCTGACCCAGTGGCAGGCATTAAGAATAACTACATACAAATAGCCAATATTCTCGCTGATGGTCTTACTTGTTTATGTAGGTCGTATAGAGGCATCAGTATTGAACTCAGACTGTTTCATAACTAGTCTACAACCTAATCTCAGTTTAAGATAAAAGAATAACACATAGGAACAAAGCTGCCAAAGAACGACAGTTGCAGACAACAGGTGTGAGAGAACAGGTGTGTGTAGAAAACATGTTTACAACGGTTGTATGCTATAAATGCAAATTGAACACCTTCTGCAGCTGCCTCACAATAAAAGCCTATAAACCAAAGACAAAGCACAATAGAGTAGTGAAGCTGGCCAAGGCAAATAATAATTTAAAGAGACTGCAGAGCTGCAATATGGCCATTAGTTTGACATGTTTGCTATATACATATTGCTAAATAATAGCATTTATGTCCATCAGTTTGGTACGTTGAAGGGCTCTAAATACTAGCGCCTACAAACATGATGGTTAGCTCTGTTACACTTTGAACAGCATCTGTCAGTGGTAACACCTCACTGCCTGCTGGTGCAGGCTTTAAAAGAGGGAGCAATAATAATCTAATCAGAATAATATTAACATAAACACTCAAGATCACACACAACTGACGCATACACATGACAGTCATACTGATTTACAGTACCCATGCAAACAAAATGAAATGGAGAGACAGTCAGAAGCAAGACCTTGATCTAAAATCTCAATATTTTAGTATACATTTTTTAAAATCTGTCTCTAACTGTCTCTCATTCCTTCCTACTTGAATATCTGTAACAAACGTACAGCCATCACAAGACAAACAAAAGAAAAACAAGGACAATCTAGAGGAGGAAACAACAAGGGCTGCAAGTGCGGAATAAGGAAATAGGAAGAAGAGGGGGAGGTGGGGAAAGTGTAAAAAGAGAACACAGGTGGGGAAGAGGTAGAAAAGCAGGAGGGCAGAGGGAGGCAGGGACTTAGTAAAAGGACTCTAATCAGAGGAAAGGAGCAAACACAGAGAAGCGACGAGGAACAAGAGCAAGAGGCAGGAGAGGAGGAAGAGAAGGAGGAAGAGGAGGCACCTGTGCGCTGCGCCAGCGCTCCTCCCAGTGCTGCTTCTCCAGCTGTGTGTGCTCCACAGTCAGCTTGAGGCTGGACAGCTGGGTCATGAGCGACTGGTAACACACATGGAGAGAGTAAGAGATAGAGAGCTAGAGAGAGCAGAGACACAGGAAGAGGGTAATGACGGGGGATGGTTGAGAGATGAGGAGAAAGAGGAGAAGAGCGGAAAACAAGTGGAGAGAGCGAGCCGCAGAGAGGGGTTAATAGAGTGAAGGAGGGAGAGGAGGAAGGAAGCACTGTAAGCACAGACAAAGCAATGGCTGTTTGACCACCTTCAAATGAACCAATAATAAACAATGTGTTAGGAGAGAGATGCTTTTATTTTAATCAAGATATTAATGAAACCTTTTGGTCCATTGTTGTAAAGTCATGTTCTGCAACAACATTTCACTCAAACTCATGTACCGTTATTTTAATTTCTCATTTATTCTAATTTTCTACAGACTTCAGAGTTCTACAAAATATCAAATATTCCAAATATGTCAGGATGACTGATGGGGAATACTTAAACTCTGTGTAAGCACCATAAAGCTCCAATAAAAAAGTAGATAAAGAATATACATGTAGAAAAGTGTTTTTAACCTTTAAAGAAATGTTACAGTAAATGATAACTTTAAGAGATTAAATTACACTGTATTGCACTTCACATTGTCCACATGACAAAATCTCAGTATACTATTTTGCTATCTTATTTGTACCATGACATAGTAGCACGTCATTTCCTCCTAGATGTTTTTCTAATCAGCCACCTGTCATGTGACATCTACACTCTAATCTTCAGCTCAGTCTTTTGTGGAAATAAAGGAACTTAAAGGAACCACATTTGGGGAAACAGGCTTTCTCACTGTCTTGCAGAGAGTTTGTTGAGATTGAAGATTGATACCACTCAGACTGAAAACAAAGCCAAAAAAATCTAACTACCAGCACCTTTAAAGCTTTTACTTTACGATATTGGTTTACTGCAAATGTATTGTTTCAGTGTATATTGTAGTACAGAAATGTCAAACAAGGTTTAAGGTAATTTAGTTAGTTTGTCCAAGTTTGTCTAACAGAGAGCAGATGGTTTTACAATAAAAATATTATTCTTTTCCTATATCATGTCTTTATTTATAAAATATATATTATGGGCTGAGATATTGTTATCATATTTTAAACTCCAAAATAATGATATAAGTATCAGCATAAAAAAAACAGTATCTGTTGGACAAAAAACAATCTCACGGCCAAAATATCTAAATATCCCTACACAGGACAGTCCCAGTACATGAAAACACACACTGGTGTTATAATTCCCTGGTTCTGTGTGAGCATTTTGTCTGCGGTTATAATGATGGTAGCGATGCTGGCTATAGTTACAGTACATTACTGGGTAAGCTCTGATAAAGATCTGCTATAACAAGACCACATTAACCCTGCAGCTGTATTTATTTACATTTTTCTGCAACAGTTATGTATAGTACAATGCACATTACCAGCTCACTTTTCCATCCAGACCGCTGGAATCTGTAACACTGATACAAAGTAAAAATATATATTCCTTATCTACAGTGTTAAACACAGAACATATGACCTACATGTATATGTGTAACCAGTTCAGGTTGGCTGGTTTATGTGCTACGTGTTGTTTTAACAAGTACCTTGGTGCCTCTCAGTTTCCTCTCATACTGGCCCTTCTCTCCCTCCAGTTCATCCACTCTGCTCTTCAGATGTTTCACTTCTTGTAGCAAATCCTGCAGAGAAAAACAAAACACACCATCTTTTACCTCATATGTCTTTTTCAAAGCAGGACCCAGCAGTGTAAACAGTCATGCAAGTGAGTTCATCTACTTGTGCACAATTATTCTGAAAAATGATTTAAATCACAGTAAATGTCAGAATCAACAACATTACTGAACTGTGCACATGCCAACATATACATGGGAGGGTATTCAAACATCAGGTTCACATTCAGTGCAGTTAAAAAGGTCTCCAGGGCTGGACAGTACAGTGGTTAATATAGTAAACATGATCCTCCTGTAACAGATACCACAGCGTGCAGTTATCAACAATCAGGAAGAAGATGAACCTGAGGACCCAGAGCAAGACTGAAAGCCGTCCAGGCTGCACATCTGCCAGCCGCACAGTGCCATTGTGCGAGGGAAACCTTGTATAGCATTAAATATCATTACAGGAACAGTTACATGACCCATCCACCTGGTCAGTGTAGGAGGAAACGGACAGATGAAAACTCTGTTAGTAGAGGGAGGAACCAGTGTCATGCAAGCAAACCAGATCAAATCAAATAAAGACACGCCTGGTCCAAAACCCAATTTGACAGGATTCATAAAGACAAAATCCAGATTGGGGCTGAAATATGTTTTTCCAAATGCTTCAAATACTTGAGGAGTTTCTGAGTTACTATTACCTTAACATCTACCTGTGGGCTGTACTACTTGTAACTGTTTCCTTGTACTATATGGCTATTGACTCAGCTTTAATAACCCCTCAAATGTATGGAAGTATTTGGAAAACCAATCAAAAGCCCCCATATCTGCAAGAACCATAGCAGAGTGTGACCCCAACATCCTGCAGTACACACACAGACACACTACGAGAGAGCTTGTTAGTTTGATTCTGTGGAAATGTCCAAATACCGGGTGATGTGTGGACTGGTTAAAAAGGGAGAGAAGAAGAAGAAGAAGAAATGATGGGGAAGGAGGGGAAGATGAGTTCATCCATCAAGTCTCCCTACGTGTACAGTCTGTCCTCCATTGTGCATCCTGGGATCAGAGCCAGACGGGCTCAGGTCTGAGCCAGCTGACCCGACCTGAGGGCTGTGGCCCTGGGCTTGGCTGCCTTCAGACTCCCCCTGCTGGGCCTCCCTCTCCTCCAGGGCCCGTTTCTCCTGGATACGAGTGCTGATCTCCTCCTGAAACCTGCACATCTGCTCCTGGAGCTCACTGATGAGATTTACCACACACTGGGAGGGACGGAGGACAAATGATGGGCGGTGGAAGAGATGAATCGGTGAGACGAAGAGAAGAAAAAGAGGAAGGAATGAATGTGAGTTGAGAAGAGAGGAGAGGAGAGAAGAGGAGAGGAGAATCAGACACTTATCTGTTAATCTCGCCAGTATTTGGGAATGCCTGTTTCCATATCTGGATGGCTGTTACTGAGGAAACTTAAAACTTCACAGTAAAAGCTAAAAAAGCCAAACAACATCTCAACAAAACATAACACCAACAATAATTGAGCACAAATGACACACAACCCATACAATAACACTGAGGAACATACTATACAGTGGTAAACTGTAAAATATTTGATGCTCCTTGTACCAGATGAGTTTGTGTTTGGGTAGTGAGAGTGTGTGAGACAGAAGCAGCCTCAGGGCAGATGCAGGCGAGGCGTTGTGCCTCACCGTCTCACAATGCTGAAATAGTGTGAGAAAGAGATACGTGTTCTAGTACCAAACACACACACACACACACACACACACACACACACACACACACACAGAACAAGTCTTTCTGCCCCACCTCCGTTTTGGTGCCATGTGGGAGAAAAGCGATGAGTTTACTCTCAGGTTATTCTCTGTAGAGAGTGGACAGTAAATTAGAACGGGTTGTATTCTTTAGACGCTTGTAGACTGTACCCCGCTCTCCCTTTAATACGAGTCAATTCTGAAATTTCTATAATATATATAATCTATATCTAAAACAACATGTTACTGGCTAAATAACAGATAAACATGTATATTAGGTGTAATGTGTGTGGAATAATGGAATTATACACGATTTCCTCGTTTTGATGTCAGCATTATACATTGGTCATCAGCTGCACACATCATGCTTATAAACATGTAGCTAACATCTCTTTTTAATTAGATTGTCTGTAGATGAATATTGTTTTGTTTTTTAGGTGGTGCTTTTTTCTTTATTCTATCTCCCTCAGTAGTAAATACTCCCATCCCACAGCTCTTCCTGTATATCACGGCCAGGCAGTGCAGCAAAGTTTATCTCCCAAACTACACTCACTGATGTGATCTGTGTACAGTGGACCATTACAGGCTCTTAATTAAACCTCCATGAAATAGCCCCACCCTGAAACAGGACCATGACCCAGAACTTAGACCAACAGAGCAAGACAGGAAAAGAAGTTCATGTAAACAGAAGAACGCACACAACCTTTTTATAGCATTTATATATATGAAGGGTTTTTCTCATGTCTTGGCCAGAGAATGTCACAACTCTTGAGCTTGTGAAACCTTTCCACAGCCAATTATATATAAAAAAAGGCATTATCATCGATTTCAACCTTGACCTTGTTTCAGAAAAGATGTTGTTTTAGCAATTCAAAGAGCTCCTCCACAGCAGTGAGTCTGTGTAGTGTTGGAGTGGTTTTCCTGAGGTGAAAGTGTTTGGTCCTCAGGAATGTTCAGAATGGATGCCTGCCATTCCTGCTGCCTGCCGACCGGAGCCTCGCAGCTGTTACTAACTACACACACACACACACACACACACACACACACACACACACACACACACACACACCCGCGCTTTGCTGGCAAAATTGTAGACCAGTGTCAGTTGCCATTTTAACGTGACCAAAGTAAAACACCACCGCTGTACATCGGATATGTTGGATTTGGGTGTGTATAAGATCAGAGACAGTATCTTGTTACTATACCAACTAAGCATCAACTTGTCAATGTTAAAACAGCTCTGTTAGACACCACAGGGCGGGATTGATGTTGAGATTTAGGTGGTGGAGCCTCAAGCTCACAGAAGCAATCTTGTGATCCCTGAACCAGACGGAGAATCAGACTAAAGGAAATGAATGAGTGTAGCTCTTTCTTTCTCATTACTGAAGTGCCCTTGAGCCACCATTTAATGCCCGTCAGTCTGACCATGAAAGAAGTGTGCACTCTTCTCTCTATAAGAAAAATACTTGGCAGAAGGAATATGGTTCTTTACAGCAAAGCCAAACTAGATCTGAGTGGCTACTTGGTAATAAACTGTTTGTTTATGAAGAATGCTTTAGTCTCAACAGTGAAAGACAGTGTGTGTTTTTTGGACTTGCACAATGTCTTGTTTTTAGCTATAGCAGCATGGCGTCAGGGATGGCAATGTTGGTCGGTTGGTTGGTTCATCAGTTGGTCGGCCATTATAATGCAGACTGAAATATGTCAAAAACCATTGGACAGATTACCATGACATTTTGTACATATGGTCCTCACAAAGCTGCTAGCATGGCTGTAGTTTTCAGTTTTCAGTTTATAACAACTTGGCCATTGTTTTCTTAATTTTGTCCATCATCAGCATAATGTTGGTAATAATGTTGTGCTCACCAAGCTAACAGCTGACAATCAAATTTGTCAATTTGGTAGAGAGGGCAAAGGCAAAAGGTAATTAAGTTATTATCTAGACTAACTTACTGAACTTAACATCATTTTGCATGCACAGTTTTCCTGTACAATGACTGATGACATTTCACCTTTAGTTGTAGCCACATGCAAAGTGGTTTTGATACTCTGACAAACCTGTTGACCCGTTTACGACCTCTGATTGTCTGACTGCTCGTTTCTTGCTCTGTCTGACTTTGTCTAAGCAAGCTCATGTTCCTACATCTCAGTAATTACTTTGGTAGGTACACTGTTTTTACAGCCTATAGAACTGTCACCAAAATAAACCAAACTAAATAGCCAAAATCACAGCAATAAGTTCATCTCATCAAGGATCTCTTAAAGCCACAGTGTCAAAACAGCACAAGGACAAGTGTTTGTTTGCATCACATATGCTTTAAAGATCTTATTCATTGCCAGTTTATTTTTTAAATGTGGCTTCCTGGAAAAAACGAGATCAACTGCTAGGAGAACTTTCCTTTTTGTTAAGTTCATAAACTAGTTTCCACGTGAGCTTTGCAGAAGGAGACAATGTTACCAGAAGAGTCAGCTCACAGTATGTCCTGCAGTGTAGTGTGACTGTCCTGCATGTTCACTTTGTGTGTGAGGACAGAAAACAATATTCCAACAGTACATCCTGTCATTTCTTATCTTTGCATCTGTCTGTCACTGTCTCTCATCTTGTCCCTCTCTTCCTTTACTCTCCGCCCTCAGTCCTCTCTCTCTTGTCGAGCCCTCTCCTCTCCGCCTCTCCCTCTCTGTCTACTTCCGCTGATGCTTATCACACTCCATCCATGTGTGTGCACAACATGGGCCTCTGCGTGTCAAAAACGCTGTATCGTGTTTATTCAATCAAAGCATGGCCCTGGGTGCTGGATGCCTTGTGATAGCTTTACACACACTCACACACACACACACACACACGAGCCAAACCACAAGAGCAACTTTAATATGTTGTGGGGAGCAGCCGGGTGCAACAATGAATGAACAAAGTCCACACAAAGAAAATAGAGAAGACAAGCAAAAAATGCTCAGCTAGACTTGGGTGGTTTGTGCCTATGTGCATGCATGAACAGCATTATTAAGTGTGTATTTGTGTGTAGTCTCTCTCCAGTGTTGTGCCATTTAGTTGTGTTTTTGTTACCTTATAATGACCCGTTTCTATCTTTATCTTCCATGGAGTCCGCCATGTTGGACAGCCCTGTTTCTACAGTAGCCTAGAACAGACAAACCAAACACTGGCCTCTATAGTTTCTTCTCCACACCTTATAGCCCGCTCTTATTCCCAGGGCTTTAAATACAGACGTTGTGTTCAGTTAGTTGCAATCTGCAACTAAATCCTACACACTGGTCCTTTAATGCAACTGTTTTTACCCTCACTGAAGCAGGAACTGTGCTGCTAATCTGAACAGTGAAGCTGACAGGAAAGTACAGCACAAAGCCTCTCACTATAAAAAGTATTTTCTACAATTCATTTTCAAATGACAGTATCATAACAGGTAGTAAGACTGAAATGCTATTGTGCTTCTAGTGGATACAATGCAGTTTTGGGAATCTGAGACCCAAAAATGATCTGCTGAGCAAACAGTTTTTTATTAGCGGACAGAGTGTCGAGGGTGGCCTGGTGTAGTACACTGAGGCTCACTATCTGTAGCTGAGCTTATTAACTTCACTTGTTTTGACAGTTTTACTATTTTCTTAAAGCCCCTGACAACTTCTGACAAACTTTACAAAAATTAAATATTTATGACTAAATAAGCAACAGTCAATGTTAGTTTTGGAAGAAAAAACCTCCTTAAAGTGTATTCATTAGAGGTTTAACACTTAAAATTAAGATAATGTGCTTAATCCTGACTGTGTGGGTATGGTTTGATCAGGTTGGAATGACAGTGGCAACATGAACAAAATAACCCTGTCATCATCACACTGTTGCTAAATTCTGACTGGTGGAGTGACATCACTTTTTCCAAATAAGAAACACAAAAAATACTCACTGCTCAGAGTAAGAAGCTGATTGAGAAAATATCTTTACAGGACCTTTGAAGTAAAGATAGTGTTTATGTTTATGTCTATTTTAAGGCACATAAGAAATGTCTGCATGACATGTTTAGACGGATGTTTTCTTTAGTGTGGAGTTTACAGTTTGGTGTCAGCTGTCTGTCTAGCAGGTCTTCTGCAGGGTGTTGTTGAAAGCGTCTGGAGAGACCGTTTGAATGTGTTCTGGCTTGTTTCAGTGTCTCAGCACTGAAGCTTGAATCTCATCCAGACACATTTCATTACAACCTCAGCCAGTAAGCTGGATGTTGGGGCATGCTTTCACTATTTATCTGTTTATTAACTGGGTGACAGATCTGGCTGCAATATGGTATTGGGACAACCTTTCATCAACTGATTGGACTTTGGATGTTATTGGATGGTTTTCGCGTAGTGCTGGCATAGAGCTGTGGGAAAGCCCAACCTGAAAGACACCAACTGTAGCAACGTCCGACGGCAGTTTTTGAAATGGGAGTCAACACTGTCTAGTGAAACCGTTTCTTTTGTGATGTTATCTGTGGCCAAAAGAAACAAATTGTTTAAACTTGTTTAAACAGTGAAAATAGGTTTCAACTATTTTGTTTTTATTGTCTTGAATCTTCCTTTTTGTTCCCCTCTACAGTGGCTGGGGGAGTCTATTCAACACTGGTCCAAATAAGTTTAAGGGGAGCTCCACTGATTTTACACACCAAAGTCTGTGTACAAGGACTACTGCATATGTGAAAAAGTTGTATGACGTTGCCCCAAGTGATGTCACTTGAGTCAGCATCGGTTGGAGCTGGAGACTACAAGTTTGAGAATGAGTGGGGGGGGGGATTAGAAAGAAATGATCTTAACTCACCTCTACAGCCCACTCCTCACCACTGCTGGAGGCTAGAGGCTATGTTAGCAGCTGCTAGCATAACACACCCCAATCAACCCTAGTGTCGGTGCTCAGGCTGCAGTGTGGGTAATGTAGGCATTAGGTTTTGACAAGAAAGAACACCATATTTATTTTGAACCTGTCTATTGTGAATCTAACAATGTTAAACTAATAGGATTGCAATGCTAAATCACTGGAGTACGCGCTTACAACTAACAAATACAAAATTGCTATGGATATTAATGCATATTAAGCACTTTAATCATATTCCCTTATAATAATGGGACTCTTGTTTAGTTAAAAAGTACCAGGCACTATAACCTTTATGTACTCTACTATATACAGTTTTGCTTTCTTGTTCTACTTTTTCTAGTTTTCCTTCAGAATATTGATGATTTTTGTGTAATTCATTTTTGTTGGTGTTGTACAGTCCATGCCCTGTGTGAATTAATAGTTACCTCTACAATGGCCAGATGAAACATCGAGGCTGATAACAGATCTGTGCACAGACCCAGTTGAGATCAAACACACATTCCACTAATCACAGACCTGTTTAGTGGGACATCTGCCACCAGCCCACAGGTGAGTTCACACAAATAGTTCACACAAGAGTTAAGGGGAATTTGTTCCATGTATTCCAATACATCAAGGCATATAGAAGTTGCTAAACTTTCCAAGTAAACATATGGTATGCATATGTCTGCATCATACTGACAAAAGATTTCAAATTAGACAGGCAGTGGCTTGTAGTGTCTTCCAGGGAGAAATATCCTCTGCCACGCAGGAGGTGATGCACAGCTTGAGCAATGACTTGGTGGAGCATACAAGTAAAAGAGCACCACGTAAACAAAATCCAAAGAAAAGGGAACACTGTTTCATTGTGTGTCCTCGAGTAGCACAGCTAGAAAACACCACGACAGCACCATAGTAAGACTTCAGTTAAAAAAAAAAGGTAGAGAAAGTTAAAAGTAGATCTTGCTGATAGCATAATGGGGCCAGTTCTGTGTCTGGGAAACCATTTATTTTGGTTGGACTTGTGGTGGATTACTGTGACCACAGCAGCAAATGTTGAATGTTGTTACTTCTCCCTTTGGCTCGGAGACAGTGAAAACATTGAAAACAGACTGACAACTGACATACATCCTTATAAAGCAGGTCTGAGAGTAACAAGAGCTCCCACATATGTCCCTAAATAATCCCTGGTGGAATGTGATTGTTTCCCTTTAGGTCCCAGACACTGAAGACAACACAAGTCTTAGTCTTTTTCAGCCTGTGTGTCACTTTACGTTTGGAATGAAATAAGGCTTGTCTTATTATGCCTTGTTTCAACAACAATGGAAAAACATCTGCAACATCTTCTCAATGTTGCTTTTTTGGGGGGGGTTACTCCCTCCAACGCGCCATTTGGGGTCTCAGTGGAGACTAAACCATTAGACCTAACAGTGTCAGTGCCATTATTTTACCCACTCTGCAACACAGAAACTAAGACTAATGCATGTTTGACTCTTTTACATTTGATTCTTTACCATGTTAGACATAACATTCATCCACTTACACAATGTAGCATTAGGGGTAAACTATATGAAAACAGGACTACTTAAGTATCTACTATAGCAGCTTTGTGAGTGGTGCTGTGAGCTAAATGCTAACATCAGCATGCTAATATGCTCACAGTGACAATGCTGATGTTTAGCTGGTATAATGTTCACTATATTCACCATCTTAGTTTAGTGTGTATACATGCTAATTAGCACTAAAGTACAGCTGGCTAATGGGAATGTCATTAGTTTTGCAGATGTTTGATCATAACGCTGTAGTACTAGACACAGTAAAAATTTCAATCTGACCATGACGCCAGATAAGGAGTTACAGCAAGGGATCGCTAAATCACGGGGACCAACCAACAGACTGGCATTGCATCCCTAGAGCCACGCTGCTAACGTCTTCTCTCACAGCATAATACCATGATATCACAGTCGTGTTATATAGTATGATATATTTGATATAGTTGCCTATATTTCATTGAGAAACAGTTACAAGTAGTAACATAGATACAATAGCCAGATAAGAATGTCTGTTTTTGTCAAACTGACTTAAATACCTGATAAATCAAGGTACTTAATGTAAAAATCTTATAATTCTAATATAATATAATAATTCTAATATAATTCTCCATTGCCCAATACAGCCAGAGATATTAGAGTGACAGCGTTATTAAACAGCTTATTATAAAGAGTACATAAAAATGAATGATTCTATCATCTCATGTTAGATATGGTCATATACTGCAGAGCGTACACACCATCAAACTGATGTGTGTTATGAGACACCAGTATTTTAAGAAAAGTAGAATAAAGTTTTGAAACTTTTTTAAAATGTATTTTTGTTTGTATTGGGGTTTGCATCAATGGTACAGTATATATGCATGTATGGGTGGAAACATTTCATTCAGGCAAACGCACCAGGGATCTCTGCCTGTAGTACAAGCAGCCTTTAAGTTGTTAATCCTTTCTGTGACTTTCCATACCTCAGCTTTGTTCTGCTCTGTGTCCGCAGGATCTTGTGGGTGTGTGTTGGTCTGCGTCTCCTCCATGCTGACCAGCTTCAGTTTGAGGTACGACACCTCGTCCATCAGATCCAGCTTCTGAGTCTCCAGAGAGGTCCTGCTCATCAGCTCCTGGGAAAAAACACACACAGACACTGTAAGTTAGATGCGTGGAAAATGACACATTAACCGCTTTTACAAACCACACCTATAGTAAACGTCAAACACACACAGATACTGGATATCAACGCAGCAACAAGTTGGCATGCTACTCCTCTCGGTACAGTGTTCTTCCCACACTAACAGAGCAGGCTAAGCTTGGGGCCCAGACCCCACAAAGCTAAATATACACATACACACACACACACACACACACACACACACACACACACACACACACACACACACACACACACACACACACACACACACACACATGCGAGCTAGGGACTCTATTAATATATCTCTGCTTCTTTGGTATGGGACGGAGAAAAGGAAAGTGTGTCTAAAAGAGAGAGAGACAGAGTCAGGGGGTATGCAGTGTGTGTTTTTTTTCTCTGACTCACACAGAACACACATCTCTTGGCCAACTCTCAGTTGTCTGTTGCTTTCGTTTCCTCATCTAAACTACTTCTAATCCCACTTCCTCTTCCCTAAACTCAGACTTTGAGTTGCCTTGGATGGTTGTTAAAGCCTCTGACATCCACCCCTTATACAATTCCTGCTGAGATTAAACATTTCAGAGGAAAATTAGCCTGCCCTAACAGTTTTCCTACTAATTTGATAAACCAGGTCCCAGAAAATGGGGAATGAGTCATGAGTATGAGTCAATAACCAATTTACTGACTTATTGAGAAGGATGTAACTTTACACAGCTTACACTACCATTGTGTAGTTTTGCTTGTTATAGCCACAGACTGACTTCTTATGTGTTGGTGTTCCACCAAAATAATGTATATTTTAAGACCCCTTCCAGACATGTATTACAACATATACAAATAGTCTGCTTGGAATAGTAATGTGTGTCTGATAATTTTTTCTGCCAAAAAAAGATTAAAAAAAGTTAAATAAGTAAAATCCTTCAAAAGTAATTTACTTTTTCTACCTGATTAAAAAGTCCAGAATCTCTAAATATCCAAATGTTGTTTATTTGTAAAGTTTTCCTGCTGGACACAAGATGTCTCCTGTAAAGTCCGTTCTCAGTAGATGTGCACTGGTGGCTTCAAGTTTCTACATTACACTGTACAAGTTGCATACTGGACCAGGACTGACTTCCTAACTATTTGTGATGTCACAAATCATACTTGTAGGCCCCACCCCTTAAAAATCTGATTTTCAGTGAGCACAGAGAAACTTTCCACTTTCAGCAGATGAATGTGAAAACATCCTTCTAGTGTCAAACTCTGCACAGACAGCATTCAAACAGCACACTGTAGGAACTAGAAGAACAGCATTTTTCTGAGTGGAGGGGGACTTTAAGAACATTTTACAATGACATATGAGATAAAAAAAAAAAAAAAAGTGGATTGCTGATTGAAGTTTTAACAAAAAGTCAGAGGGTCACAAAAGTCATTAAGACACATCCTCTGGGCACCATCAATGTCTGTGAACAAACTCAATGGCAATACATCCCAAAGCTGAGATTTCAGTGTGGTGATACATATTTATATTATACTAACTATTTTAGGTCCTTAAACGTATAAACTTTTCTTTTTCCTCTTAAGGATGTGTGGATGCCACATGACAGACATTAGACAAAACTTTTTGACCACAGAGGGATATATCTGTCCAAATAGAAAGATCACATGGTACACAAATTGTGTCAACACCACAGCCACAGACAGACAGTTAAAACCCCATAATCACCCCAGCTCAGCACCCACACACATACAGACACACCAAACACACACAGACAATCTGCTTAGTTATGGCAGCTGACTGTCAGTTTGCAATCTAACAGCAGTGTCACTTACAGCAGGATAAGCCGCAGTCTTTAGAAGTAATTTATCAGAACTCTGTGGTCAAAGCCCACTGCTCAGCTGCCTGACATTTGCTTTCCTTTAATTATGAGGAGCAGCATGTGACAAATTATCATCCTCTCTACAGCATTTATAGATCTCTTTAAAGAGGCTGCACTCATCTCCAAAACCGAACTGTGTTAATGGCAGAACTCAGATCTGGACTTATTATCTGAAGAATGTCATTTCAAAATGAAATATCCACAATTTGAAAGACATCCAGTTTTAAAAAATATGATCTCCATGGTAAGTATTGTACGCTGACATACAGACCTCATTTATAACTGGCATTAAAGGACCATAGATCACAACTCCCACGCTTCACCCTCCCTGTCCAAGCATGAAGCAGAAACTACAGTGGTTGTGAAAAGGCCCCATCTAGACCCACTGATTATCCCTTCTGGGCTACTGTAGAAACATGGCGGTGACAACATTTAAGTTAGCTAATGAGAATTATGTTTATGAATTTTAGTGATTGATGCAGAGTCGATTAATTTTATCTATGAATACATCAAAAACGCTAATGACCCTTAACGGAAGCTTTGTGTGTGTGTGTGCGTGTGTGTGTGTGTGTGTGTGTGTGTGTGTGTGTGTGTTTGTTTATGTATTTGGCGAAAACACTGTGAACTATATACACAGAAATGTCTCAATACACAGTAGGACATGTAGTCACAGTATGACTACATGTGTGGGTGGATCCCTTCTAGCATGAGAACACTGTACTGCGTGTGTGTGTGTGTGTGTGTGTGTGTGTGTGTGTGTGTGTGTGTGTGCTGACTAAGAACTATTTCTTATTAGATTAGTTGTGGTTCCCACAGCAAGTAGCAGCCCAGCGGCACTGGCACATAATGTCTCTCACTCAAACACACACACACTAAAGACAGTGACACAGATAGAGGACGTCCTGCTGCAGACATGTTGTCACCTTTTAAATCCTTCAAACATATTCTCTAATTATATACTGAGTAGATTTAAGAGGAACAGATCTGGGAGATGATAAGCACTCAAAAAAAAAATCAACACATACAACACAACAGACACACAAACCCAGAAGCCAGACGACTGTTATCTTTCTCCACACACTCTACCTCCATCTCTCTCAGCAAACATCTCATATCACACCAGCTATGTGACCAGCAGTCATTAGCTGTGAAATGGGCTGGTGTTGCACACAAACACACAATACACTAACACAGAGCCACAAACTGGGACAACAGCTGCAGATCAGAGCAGCTAAATCCAATAAAACCTCCAGACCTACAAGCAGTAGCCATAAAGGACTGTAGAGAACATCAGGTGCAGCGGCAGGTGGAGAGCTAGACATTTTGACAGAGTTAGCTATGAAGCAACATGCTTCCAAATTCTGTTTTTTAACTACCACTGACAACAGTGGGGTTCTTTTTGTTTATATAATTGTTCTTATTCGGTGCAGACAGCATAAATTAGTCGATTGTAAATGCAAGCTGGACGAAGATGATAAAACGTCACAGCTCGAACCCCACCTCGTGGGGTATTTATTTTGGGGCCGTGGCCTTTTTATCCTCGGTCTTGACAACGAAGAGAACAAAGAGCCTGCTGAGGAGTCCAAACAGAGGGTTGATTATGTGATACACAGAGCTGTGGTCTTGTTATATCCAGCCTGGCAGATCTCATGAGTTTGCCTCATTGATGACGTCACGTAAAACAACTGGAACAACTTGAAGACATTCAGTGTTTCACACTACATTATGTAAGCCGTAGACCTTTTTCACAACAGCCATTTTGACTAGAAATAGTAGGGTAAACACAAGCGTTACCAATGAAACTTAATTTAAGTTCCATTCAGGTCAAACAGAGTCAGGGTGCTGCTGTTGTGCATGTTGGCTCGCTGGAAAGACTCTGCTACACTAAATAGAACAGAACCTGAATTTTTTTCCAACTATTTCATGTCCAAATGGCTGCTGTAAAAAAGGCCTAAGCAAAAGTGTAACCTGTAGTCTACAGTAGGGTTGACCCACAGCTCCAGGGTGTTGTTGACTTGCTACCCATAAAAAAAGACAGACGATCCAAACTGTTCACTACCTTTGAGCTGAAAGCTACCGTTAGCATGCTAACGTGCTCACAATAATATTGTTAGCATGCTAATGGTTAGCAGGTATGATCTTTTCACCATCTTAGTTTAGCATTTAATCATGCTAGCATTTTCTGGTACAACTGATTTTTAATTGATTCATCCCCTCTGTAGGCTCAGTAAGTTCTATGAAGCTTGGTCTGGGGTAAAACATTTCATTAATAGTTGATTCTGCAGATAAAAGGTTTTTACCCAACAGCAGCAAACTGTAGCAACTCATAATCCCACCACTATCCCATTTTATCAATTTCTGAATTTTCAAGAATTCCTGTTATGTGTTATGACATTACTTACACTTTCATCAGATGTTGGTAATTAGTCAGGCAGGTGAGAAAGCAGACTCATTCTTAGTCAAAGCCTTTCAGACCTGCTTGAGTTGACCACATTGCCCAGTTAAAAATGTCTTTTTGTTTTCACAGGAAAACTCTGTGAATGTTATTCTCATTCGTTCCTGTTTGTATATCATATATCAAGCTGCTTTATCCTAATAAGGAATGCTTTATTTCTTTGCTCTGATTCAAGCAAATCTCTGTCCTCTATTATTTCAAATGGACCATTTTACTTTAGGGCCAAAAACAACTTACTGTCCCAAAAACCAAACATTTTAGACCTCACTATACTGTAATGCAAAGTCCTTCAAACTGTCTGAAACAACATTGGTAGCAGAACAGTCCACAGTTCTTTATCCAAAAGGTCACCTTCAAATTGTTGGTTTTAAGAGTAAACTGTCTAATCTAGTGATGACTAAACAAACACAGTGTAATGTTGAGCTTTGACCTGTAAAATCTTGTTGCTTGTGTTGAACCCACCACGTAACTGTGCGGATGATGAGTCAGAGAAGGTCAACGGTATAAAGTCAAGCTGGAATGCTCTGAATAAAACACTGCACCACTCCTTTATTTATTCATTTACAGTACCACCTTACTTCTACTAGTATTCCATCCATGTGGACATCCTGTTTGACAGCTGGCAGACAAATGATTATGCTTATGCCATTACTTGAGATGTAATATAAGTGGATTGACACTTCAAACAAGAATATATTTCAATTACGAGCAAAAGGTCATCTTAATAACTATTCCCTGTCATTCAGCTGTCACAATTTAATTTTCAGTTTCAGTATAACTTTGGAACATTTGAGAACATGTAATTTCTCTAATATTTCTCTAATATGTGCAAATTAATGTAGTTTAGTGATTAAAAAAACTGAGACTATACTGTGATATAAAACTGAACTTCACTCCACAGCAGACAGACTACGTTATCTGCATCTTCTAGCCATCTACGGCTTCATATTTGTCTTTTTTAAATCTGTACTGTCCGTTTATAATATGCTTGCACAAAGCAAGCATTGTTAAGAACGCGTCTTGTTTGAAAAACTATTGGAATTGTCAATGGACAAAATCAACTGGGGACTCCATGCTCAATAATAACACATATTGTGGCTTCACACATTGTACAAGAATAATAAATGGAACCTCCTGTGTGTCACCCAAATATTATGCCATTTCTGTATTTCAACAGTAAACTTTTCTGTTTGCACTTTCCACCTGTAAATGAGTTTACAGTTTACAGCTTATGTGTGTGTGTGTGTGGGTGTGTGTGTGCGTGTGTGCGTGCGTGCGTGCGTGCGTGCGTGCGTGTGTGTGTGAGTGTGTGTGTGTGTGTGTGTGTGTGTTACCTGTTGCAGCATCTCCTCTGTGGAGGCCAGTTTCTGCCGGTGTTCCTCCAGAGAACTTTCTAGGTCTCTGATCTTCTCTCCCTGGGCCTCCACCTGGTCAGTCAGAACGCTCACCTAACAGGTGACACATTCATTTTATATTAGTGCACATTCTTAGACATGAAGCAGAGTTGACCAGATGCAGAAAAATTGATGTTGTTGTTGATGGAAACTTACAAACACAAAAGCACAGAGACATGGAAACATGTACACATTTTAATACAGAAACAGTCAAAACAAAACATTTATTTTCATACCCACAGTAACCTTGTCTCTGTGTCTTCCTTCACTCTACACACAAACACACATTCATCCTGGCATTCCTCAACTCCAAAACAACACACATTTACTCAGCAGCCTGTCACTCAGGAATGCATTGCACATTTACAATAATCCCCCTGACAACATGCTCACCTCCTGCCAAACATCACACACACACACACACACACACACACACACACTACAATTCTCCTCTTCTCCTAAACTATGCCAAATCCCTCTGACAGCAACTGATTCTCTGTCACTTTGGCTTCCCTGATTTTTACCCCTGCAGCCACGTCCTGTCTCACAGCGCTCTGGCAATAAAGAATCTCCCACAAAGTTTCTGGCTCAACATGAATCAAAATCCAGATCACAAAGAAAACCCGGACGTGTGAGCAGACGAGTGAAAGATCTGGTAGCGTGCGCTTCCTAACAATGACTAGGTGAACAATAATCAACTGACTAAATGAATGAAACAAGTATGTGAATGAGCCTAAGATCATGTGTGTGTTTAGCACCTAAAACACCTATTTGACTCGTACCTGACAAATGTAATGTATCTATCTCCTATAAAACATTATTTAAGGTTGTAGGAACACAAAGCAATTAAAAGACAAGGCTCTGATATAGACTCTTACCTCTACTGTGCTCCGCTGCTGAGCTACCCACACACACACAAATGCAGGTGAAAGTTCTCTACTAAACACAGAGTGTGTATATGCTAACACACTGGACAACCTGGAAGCGGGCAACCTGTCAACAGCCAGTTAAATCTCCTGTCAGGAAAAATAAGCCCCAGTCACCTTGTATATGAACCAATCAGAGCGGGTGTCAGATGAGGAATGTGTAACAAGTAGGCGTGTGCGTGTGTGTGTGTGTGTGTGTGAGAGTGTTGGTGAGAAATGAGATACGGACTTTATGACAACTTTATGAACCAGAGTCGTCCAGACGGGCGGTGCACTTTAACTCAACTTTCATAAAAGATCCAGTCACATCACCTTACCCAGAGTACGAAACAAACACACACACACAACCACAGGTGAAGAGAGCCTGAGGAGCAGATTGAGAACTGTGATTTAGCGGGAAGAATGTAACAGCAGATTGTTAAGATCACAGCTGTATGAACCAGCTATTAAAGTGATCTAAGAGCAGAGAGAGCCTGTTGAAATCATACAGCACAGAGATATAATCTTCTGCTTTACCACTGTAGCGTTGATGTTGATTGTTACTGCAAAAGTCGCCAGTAAACACGTGCTCAGACGGTTTAAAAGTGTTCGGGCATGTTTTGTTATGAAATAACATGAAATATCTAAAGCACGAGGATTACAGACCAGCAACTAAGCTGTTTTTCCAGTGTGGCACCAAACCCTCCTGACAAATCCCTGGCTCATTTACTAATAGTAGGGATTCAAACAATTAATAAACACAACAGAACAAGAATTACAATTATGATAAGTCCCACTGAATGAAATGCAGATTCAGAAAGTTGTGTTTTTTTATTTGTTTTGTTTTTGCCTTTATTTTGATAGATGACAATAGAGATTGAAATGTGAAATGAGGGAGGAGAGAAAGGGGGGTGACGTGCAACCTCACTGGAATTGAATCAGGGACTTTTACGATTTCATGGTTCTCGTTTTTAGACTAGTTTTTAAAATGTGGTCTTTATCAGATTCCAGTTTAAGAGGTCCCGGTCCTGAAGTCAATGTCGATCTAGAATGACGTAAAAAGTCACATGAATTCTGATATGACTGCTCACACTGCAAACAATGAGACCTGTATCTGATTTTTACCACATATGAAAGTGGCCCAAATCAGAATTGAAAAGATCAGAGTCATGAGAGCAAATAAATAGAGAATGTGATTAGGGTGATTTGCAGTGTGAATGTAGCCACCCGGACCACTCAAAGTGCTTTACAACACTTATAACACCCATTCAAACACCCATTCACACACTGACGGCACAGCCATCAGGAGCAATTTGGGGTTCAATATCTTGCCAGAGGACACTTCAACTGGACAGGGGGGACCCTGAATTGAACCAGCAACCCTCCGATGATTAGACAACCTGAGCCACAGCCACTTATGATTTGTTTTTAAAAAGTCACTTTATAGCAACTGATGACCTTTAAAGCTCAGTGAAACTAGCTGTGACATAAACAGTCTTAGAACAAATTGGTGTAGCTAACTGGTTGACTGTGCAGTCTCTTTGTCAGTTGTAAAACACACACACACACACACACACACACACACACACATACACATCACACATACACACACACACACACACACACACACACACACACACACACACACACACACAGTTCTGACCTGTAGCACCAGAGACTCCTTGTCTCCCTCTAGGCGGAGCAGCCGTTCTTGGTAGGTTTCATTGTTGGCTGGAGAACACAGGTTCACCTGGATAAAAGCACAGAAAAACAAAAATTAGGTAAAAACACTGGGCATCACTATTTTCTCTTTGTTGACTGAGTTAGCTTGATTTAAAACATCAGTTCTAGTCAATCTAAACTTTTGACGAAGCAACAAGTCGTTTACCCTAAACCTACGAAAGTGTATGCTTATTCACAATTGGCTGGATTGTGATTTCTCTCTTAAACACTAACATTTGTGACATATTGAATAATTTGTGTACAATTGGGTTGACACAATGAACTATGTTAATTAACTGAGTTAGTTTCAATAATCATAGCTGAATTACTACAATAATACTGATTACTAAACTCAGTCTGTATAATTCTCTGTGTTTAAAGACCCAAATCGGCTGGATCAGAATCAAAAGGATCATTTTAGCTGGTTAACATCATGTTAGCCTGGATTAGCTGAGCCATGTCTGGAGAACAGGGCCCTGGACTGGAGGATCATTATCATGTCAGATACACATGTACAATCACTTGAAGCCCCTTGACTGCACACAGAAGATCTTCATGTCACTAATGGTGTGCCTGTTAAAACCTGTAGGCTGTACCATCAATGATTTTGGGGTTTAAAGGGGGTGAAAAATGATACATTGTAATTCTTTTAGATCACTTTAAAGGGATCTGTTTTCACTTAAGCTAGTTAAAAAGCCACATTTAATCACATTACATCTTAAAAATGTATTGATACCAGGTTGTAACACCTTTAGAGGTGAAAACTTCCAAGGGGTAGTGTATATACTTTTATAGGAACTGTATTTGTCGTCTGGAGCTTCAGACAACAACTAAACAATATCTCGTTCTTTTTTCTTTTAAAATGTTTCTGGCTTGTGGCTGTTGGAAGCGGAGAGATTACAGATGTATGAAATGCATTATTGGCATTTTGATCTACTGATGCCTGCTTCATGTTCAGGACTGGTGTGAGCTGAACTGCTGACGCCTGCACAAGGAGCTGACTGAGCTGTAGCTGTTTAAATATAGACTTTTTCACAAGGCACATGATGAAGAGTTATGAAATATCATCTGACTTGCCTGATCCCATTTATCCAGAATTAGAAATAAATGGCAAAACAAAACCTGTAAATGTTCACAGGACCACTCTATTCCCATCTCTAGCCACTGGCTAACAAAACATGTCTGAAATAAACAGATACAGATATTTTTTTAACAGCCAGGCAGCTTAGTGGGAGAAAACGCTGTGTCAGGCTCCGTCTAGAAATAGAAATGCTTTGTAATATGTATTTACGCTGTGAAAGACATCTTTCCTCTTGCCAGTTTTGTGGTCCCTAGCTATCAGGGTTATGGCACAATTATGTGTTCCGCAACTCAGGAAGCAAAAATGAAAATTAAGCAGAACTATTTTAAATGATGTTAGGCCTAAATGATGTAGTCAGTACAGTTTCCATTTTTCTCTAAAGAGTCAGATTATCCTGTCTTTGAGACTCTGTGTCCAGGGCTGCTGACTCCTTGACTGCTCAGCCCGATGCTGCCGTTGACACGGAAACTGAGAAGGAGGAAAATGTTATTATCCAGCTATGAAGCTTAGACACGATAAAATGAGGATTTCAGCTTCTCTCAGCTTCATAGCAGAGGAAAAGCTCAACACATAGCATATAATGCTCATACATCCTCAATTTCAACTACGTTTATCAAGACTGATTACACATATCGGTTGACGGTAAAACTCTTTGAATAAACATGATGTTGTAGCTCTACCAAACTACACACTAGAGTACATATATTTAAGGCTGGTGGTAGCTGCCCATTTGCTTTAGGAAAGTGCTATCACATCCAACTGTAGCATAGGCGTTTTTACCTTACACTAAGATTACTGTTAAAAGCAGTATGCAACACATTTTATTATGAATGACTCATTGTTACAACAAACCTTGAGGCATTAGGCATGAGATCAGTGATATTCACTAGCTGAGAACTGGCTGTGAGATTTACTACATTGTTTTATGGCACATAACAAAAACTTTACATCATTTATTATTATGAGCGTTAGAACAACTTCAACTGGACAAAAAACAAATGCTATATTCATGACTTTAATGTATTTTAAGAATATCTTAGCAGCTTCTTAGACTTTTAATGAATCATTTCAAGGTCATAACTGAAATTTAAAGCTGCATTAACTAATATTTTCATATTAAGAATGCATCAAATGACTATGTATATTGTAAAAGGTATTGCTTATAGTGACAAAACGAGTATCGTCACAGAACTCTGCTCTTCCCCTAAGCTCTATAGAGCAGAACATTTTAGCTCATTGCTTTGTACGGTACATACTCGTTTCCAGCTGCAACAGGAAGTTATTTTGAGCAAGAAAGCTCAGATAAACCCACTGTACACTACCTGTTCAGCATAAAACAGCAAACAAAGTTAGCTGCTTGCTGGTGAACACAGTAGCATTTAGTCACTAAAGAGCTAGATATTTCCCTAAGGATCATGGAGACCAAAACAGAACTGAATGAAGAGTGAATTGAGCTTATATTCAGCAGGTGGCCATAAACACAACTCCAGATGAATGTTAATATTGCTCTGTGACTGCTGGGCTGTTTGCTAACAAGTTAGCCATCTCGACTTTATAGAGTGATGATATGTCAGTGTTGTGTTCACAGGTTTTTCCTTTTAACAACAAGTAGCAAAAAGCACTGGTGCTAGGATTTATGGGAACACAGTAAGAAATCAGACATTATTTGTTTATAGCAATCAATACTTTATTTGTGTTATACATTCATCTGTGTCTACAGTCCACCACACAGCTGTCTGAACTATGGCCAAAACACACTGCTTAAATACTAAAAGCCTGGAAACTAAAATGAGTGTTCAGTGTAGATGTAATTTCTTGTAAGAGGCACTTCCTGCTATCATGACGATGACCCAGTTTTGAAGAGGAGAATGTAAACATCTGCATTTTAGGCTTTTAGCTGAAACTCTTATCTGATGCAACATACAGAACAATAACTGTAGAACAAGCTTTAAGTACTGGACCACCAACAGTGCTGACTAAAAAATAAGGAGTACAATGGTTAACATTTTCATTGCCATGTTACATTCAAAGGAAAAGGCAAAGAGCACTGATGAGATTAGATTAGATATCAGATAAAATATTAGTTTGTAAGCTCTTTGTTGGCCATACATCTCTCTCTGACTGTCTGAGAACACAGACAAAAGAGCCTAAAATCAGCGTGTAATCCTCCATGATCTGTCTGTAGCTGAGGTCAGTGGGTTTAAGGGGATGTATACAGACTGGGCCACCTGACACTGACCATGTGGACATGTGAAACCTATTAAAGTACTGTAAACTAAACCGAGAGACAAGGGAGCAGAGGAGGAAAGAGAGAAAGAAAGTGTGAGATCAAAAGATTTTACTTAGGCTCTACTGAGACCATGTTTGGATTAACTGTCATCAAAGGTACAAAATACCACAGTGTGAAAAGGGCTTGTGTCTGAAAGCCTCCCTTGACTTCTAATATAGGTTTGCAATAAAGTTACAGTATGACTATTGGTTTGTGACTCCAGTGGGAGAAGTCAGGAAGTATGTGAAATATGCTGTAATCACAGATATTCCCATCAGACTACAGAGAAGCAGCGCCATTTCACGGAGGTGACAGAGCACTTCAAGGGGCTGATAGAGGCAACTAGGCCAGTCTGGTTCTATCTGTCTGTCATCGCCCGGTGGATCGTGTGAGTAAGGAGGGAAGGGGACAGGGAGGCAGATTTGGGGGGCGGAGTTAGGTTCCTTGCATTATCGCTTCTGTGGCTAACACTGATGGAAATACAATCAGTTAAACAACATTTGGTAACACTTTATCTGGATAGTCTGCCTACAGATTTGTAAAATTTCAGTCTTATTAGAAGCGCATTAGTTGAGATTCAACTGTTTTCTGACACCACCTTGGTTAAGGTTTGGTTAGGTTAGGCCACAAAATATTGGTTAGCATATGTTCATGAATTGTCACATATACTTTTGAAACATTTAGAGACAAAACATTTCAAATGTTACAAATACTAGACATCTAAATAAAGTTTTTAAAACTGACTGGCAGCAGACCATGTTTTAAAGTCTGTATGTATGGGAAGTGGCAGTAGTTGAAGGTATGAAAGCTGTGCAAGAGCAAAGAGTTTTTACAACAACAGCTCTGGCCAGTGGAGTGGGTGGGACTCCTGATGACATACAGTGCTGTATATGATCCCACTGCCTATGAATGCATGACAACATGCAGGACAGCACCTACTTTTAATGATTCACAAAAAAGCTACACAAAACAGTCACTGTAGTGTAAATATACAGCACTTACAATATAAACAGTAACTGGAGCATTTAACCCATTTTAAAGTGAGGTCACTTTGTGTCTACAGTCATACATTTCTCTGCCTTCAAAACCTGTTTTTTCTACTTTGAGTAAAAACACTAGTCAAACTGATTTTGTGGTAGGAAACAACATTTTCTTAAATTCAGTGATGAGTGTTGACTTGATTTGGTCATGGAGCGTGTGTAACACATTAGCTTATAGGCTCTCTAGTCACACCACTGTGTCTCTAAATCTAATTTAAAAGCTGGTCCAATTCAATTTTATGTCTGCACAGCTTGACAATCAACATTCGCAGTGAGTGTGGAAAGTGAATTTGAAGGTGAGTTGATGACATTCAGGATGACTCTTCATTTATCAGCAGAGCTCAGTTTACATTAAAATACATTTTTGTTAATGCTCTAAACATGTTTAGTCATGCTACACACAGTGATAAACACAGATTTGCTATCTGTTATGGAGTGCACCAAACCATTGTATAACCACAGGATAAACGTGCACAATGGGTGGCATGATGCAATAAATGAGCCTTCTCTTCGACAGGAAATAAAGGTGAAGGAACTGCACTCATACACTGTTTTTGCAGCTAACCAGCTGTAACCATCACATTTCCCTGAAGAGATAAAGAACGTGTTTGGTGTGTCTAGATTTGTATTTTGTGGCAGGCTAGAATCTGTTTTGTTAATTTTGTCAAATTGTCTCTTTTGTTATCCATAACGCGCTGGTGGTCAAGTGCGCAAGAGAGTGAACAAAGAGAGGGAGCAATGTTAGTGAGAACCAAGCAGTGAGCAGTGAATGTTATTTTCTGATTGTTTCACAGTGGTATTTGTTCTAAAGCGCAAAGAAACACGGCCACAATCCTGCGGGAAGAAGCCAAATTGCTGGATTTTGTTCATCCTGTCCACTGTCCACCACCTCTCTGGGTGTGTGTGTGTGTAGCTCAGCCCTGCCCTCAGAACAAACAGACACACAGACCCCATACCTCACCCGGTCAACACTCAGAAACGATATAAAATAAAATAAGAAAATACAAGTATTGGGCAGGTCTCTGCAGATACAGTGGCACACACAGCAACTGACTGAGAAAGATGGATTATTTTTGTATGACTCTGTACATTGTTGTAAATCCTACTCAGTATGATGCCACCAAATTCTTTAATTCTTCAATCACTTAATGTGGCATTGTATACACTTTCTATGTTGTGATATATATTGATATTGGAAAAGACAAAATTTTGACACACGCTGCCACTTCATCTGTTTGAAGAAATTGTCCACAAACTAACATGCTGCCTCTTTTACAGACATATTTTAAGTTGGAGAAAGTTAAGCTCATTCTTTGAAAACAGATCCCTGCCTTTAAAGACTTCAGACTCAAACATGTCTTAATCAGCTTCACTCTATCTATGTATCTGCTGTGTCAGTATACTGAATTTAGAAATAGAGTACAATGTGCTGGAAAAAGCAGGATATCTGCTTTGGAGGCTCAATTGATGAGATATCCGAGAAACAGAAATCAGCAGAGTAAAAAGTACCCTGAATGCAGCATGACATGACTCAAATGTGATAAGGCCCAAAATGTGGATGAACATTTTGTTATTCTGTGTTACCAAGTGAAAAAAGCCATTAAAGAGACAAAGAGTGCCACCTGCAGAAACTGTAACAGATTAGCACACTACTTGATCAGCTTTTGTGAATATTTCTTGTGTAAATTCGAAGGAAATGTCACATAGAGAAGCATCAAGTTGATATGAGCATGACAAAGCTGTTAAAATTATATCTTTTTTACACACCTCTCTGTGTGAGAACTGCTTATAACCTGAACCAGGGATCTCAATTCAGCCCACGACACAAAAATGTAATATAATTCTTTAATTACGACTTTAATTATTTTTGTTTCATATCAATTTAAAATACGCTGTTATATACTTTTAAAATAAAAACACAATTCTATTTTACAAATTGTTTTTTATTTGCTGCAAAATAATGCTAAAGGTCAAAGGTGCCTGCTAAAGGGTAAATAAGAAAAGTTTTGCAAACAATAAAGATGATATAAATGATGATATAAAAATGTATAGAAACTTGTTTGCATTTTTTTTTTTAAAGTATGATGGAAACATTTTGAAAAATATTGCACATTCCTGTAGTACTTGACCACTGAAGTGGCCCTAATACCAGCAGTGGCCCCAAGCCAGTTTGAGTTTGAGAGCCCTGGCCTGAACAGTTGTTCCAAAATGTAGTATCCGTTCGAATGGTCAGCGAAGGTCATTTTCAAGGTCACTATATAATGCTAAAAAGAAGAAGAAAAAAAATCTGAACAGTTTTTAGGGTCTTAAAGTGAAATATTTCAGGCCTAATGTAAAGACATCCGACAGAATGACACAGACTTGGCAAGGCGCTGATTTACATCTACAATAATCCGCTTATATGACCCAACCCAACACCAAAACTCTTATTCCTGAAACTTTGTGTCTTAACAGCACAGATCTCCCGTGGCAAAGTCCCTCTCTGATTGAATCCAGCAGTATCAGACGATGCTTTGTCAACAACAATCAGCTGATGGATAATGCTCCTAATCTGATAACACAGTCCTTGTGATGCGTGCCTCCACACACACACACACACGCCCTAACAACACTGCAACAAGTTGAGATGCAGCCCAGCTCTTGAGCTAAAGGAAATTACATCAGAAAACAGTCTGTCACCGGGAAATAACACAATACGAACATGCATCTGAGCTGGAATGATAATCATCTCACCGGGACAGAGGAGCTTCCCCTTTCTCTTATAAACACGGCTCTTCTCTCTGCTCCAAAAAAACATACTGGAAACTCCTTCAAGGCATCAATTTAACGGAAGGAATGCGATGCAAGGACAGACATTGAGGAGAAAAAAGTCTAAATGAAAGCTCAGCGCTCACCTTTTTGAGCCAGGAGAAGTGCTTGTAGAAGTCAATGGGAGTCTCCATGCTCCCAGCCCATCGCTGCCCTGCCTGTTCCCACTGAGTTCTTGTCCGACTCTATCAGACTGGGTGCGTAAACACGGCCCACAGACTGGGCAAAGTAAGAGTGGATTCTTGAGACCGCTGCAGCATGTGAGCACTGTCATGTAAGTGTGTGTGAATGTGTGTGTGTGTGACTGTGTTGATCACAGCTGTGGAGGAGGGCGTTTTACGATCTCCTCGCCTTCTGAGAGGGACAACTCCCCCCTGTTTTGTCCCCCTCCTCCTACAGTGCTTCTCTCTTTTCTTTCCTTCGTTAGTATCACTGCTTTTTCTCTCCCTTTCCCTACTTTCTCCCCACTTTATGTTCCCTCACTCTCTCAGTCATCTCTCCTTTCATTCAGACACTCGCTGCCTCCTCTTTTTCTTTCCCCGTTCTTGGAGTTGTTGCATTTTTTTCACCTTCCAGTCACTCCTCTCTTTCCAAAACTCTCTCTCTCTTTTCTTCCTTTCTTTATTTCTCAGTCGCTCCCCCTCTTTTCTTCTCTCTCCCTGCTGAGGTCCGTCTGACAGCCAAATGGCCGAGCCCAGAAAGGAAGGGGGTGGTGGGAGGGCCGTTTTTCTTCTTTCTCTGTCATCTGTTTGTGTCTGAATGTTGGCCCATGTTCTCCCTTTCTCTCACGCACACACAGACACAGACACACACACACAGACACACACTACGCCAGTAGCATTTGATGTCAGACACGCGAATAAAGCAGCAACAGGCTATAATGTCAGCACAAACACAAGCCATGCCAGATATCTCCCCCTCGCTTGTGCCCTCTTTTAATTAAGTTACACTCAGAGCGTCGGGAGACTCCAAAACACTGTCTGCACAAGTGAGAGACTCTCTCTCCCCTTTTCTCTACCCCCCCTCCCCATATGTCTGTCTTTCTGTGGCTTATCATCTTCATGTTTAAACCCATTAGCTCAGGTTTCCATTTCCTGTGTATTTTACAAAACTGTTCACCATAACAATGCACAGCCATTTGTCTGAATGACAGGTTCATTTATATATCACACACACACACACACACACACACACACACACACACACACACACACACACACACACACACTCACACACAAACTCAAATACGAATAACTGCTCAGTAGATTATGGGCTTTTCAAAGTGTCTTTATATAAGAAAAAGTCAGAAATAGACCTAAATAAAACCTTAATGGCTTCATGGTGTTGTTGTGTACCCAAATTCCACTTTGTACATCTGCAGACCTGCAAGGGTCTCTGTAATATACATTTCGTCATGGGCACAAAGCTCAGTGCAGGACTAGTCGAGACAGAGCCAAAACCGAGTACAAATAGTTCTGAGTCAAGTCAGAGTCCAGAGAGGTTCGAGTCCAAGTCAAGACAGAGTCCAACTGAGAAAGACAGAGTCAAGACCGAGACAGAAAAAAGGAATGCTTTTGCCATTGCCAATGAGATGAGTTTTGGCAGCCAGGCATTCAATTGCAAGTGACATTGATTGGCCGCCTGGTGGCCATAGTTAGTTAAGAAGGTAACCCGTTACCCATTCTAGTTAAATTTTGAAACCAATACCAGTTTTCTGAACAAGCATGCTTCATCAAAGGTTTTGTTTTGAAGTTAAAAAGTAAAAAAAACATATGCTGGACTCGAGACCAACTAAAGACCAACTCCGTCTGACTGCAAATAGCAAGCAGTCCAAGACAAGTCCGAGAAAAGAAAAAAAAACTACAGCACTAAGAGTACTTCAGCACTGATGAGGGTACATTTTGGGAAGCATGATTTATGAAGCTTATGGTATGTACATGAATGTGCATCGACTGCACATGTGTAAAACACATCCACATACACAGATATCTAATGTAGTATCTACTGCACAGAGCTGGCTGTGTCGGTTTTGCAGTGTGGAGGACTATCAGGGGATTACTGTTGATGGGTCAAATGACATGAAGTGTTTGAATCTGCTTGTTGAACACTTTTAAATCAAGTTTTCCTGCTGGACACAAGATGTCTATTTCACTGTGAAGTCCATTCTCAGTGGATGTGCACTGGTGGCTTCAAGTTTCTACATCACACTGACTGACTTCCAAACTATTTGCGATGTCACAAATTAGGTGGTAGGCCTTGCCCCTTAAAATCTGATTTTCAATGAGCACAGAAAAGCGTTCCACTTTCAGCAGATGAATGTGAAAACATCCTTCTAGTGTCAAACTCTGCACAGACAGCATTCAAACAGCACACTGTAGGGACTAGAAGAGAAACAGATTTATGGCAGAGGGGGGTTTAAGAATAGATCAAATGACTCTTTGTAATGTGAAAGGGGGCACTCAGTGATGAACCTACTATACAAAGAATCATCACCCAACTCTGCAGTACCCCTCAGGATGACTGCACTTTTTAGCACTGTTCAGCTCATTCTTTATGTTTTAGTTTCTTTACTTTCTTTACTTTACTGTCACCAAAAAGCTGAAACCTGAAAATAAGATGAGTAGCATTAGATATAAAAACGTTGATAAAAGCCACTATGTGTAAGATTTGAATCTGTCCCACTTTCCTCAGTGCTAATATAAAAAAAAAGCTGGTGTCTGGCAAAGAAACACATTCTCTTTGACTAGGTTTGGGAAAACTCTTCTCCAAATATCATCAACTCAATCAGGAACACAGGAACATCATCTGAAGACATGGCAGCGTCTCTGGGTCAGCAATAATGAGTAGCAGTCAGTGTATCACAACTTCCTGCCTATAATACACTTATGATGCTTCCTGTGTTTACATGTGTGTATCTGTGAGTGTGTTTCACCCCTGGGGACCGGCCCACAGGGTGCACACTAATTGCAGAGCTCCAGTGTCTTTGATCCCGTTCTTCTAGGTCAGCAGGGAGGAGGAGGAAGGAGGAGAAGGTGGACAGGATGAGGACAAGAGGGAGCAGCCAACCTTACATATTAGCTGCCTTGATAATCTGCCAGGCTTTTGTTCATCTGCTATTGAAATAGTCCAGTTCCACCAAAGAAATAGTCCCTTTGGAAACAGTTGAAAAAAAGTAGTGTAGTGTTGATCATCCATGGTAACAGGGACATTACTGCTGGGAAGAAATGAGTTTTTCAATGCTGCTAACCTTAACCCCTACAATTTTATTAACTGCTACAATGAGCTTTCCCTGACCTTAACCTTAAACAGTGTTTTATTGCCTAACCCTAACCGTACTTTATTTACAATATAACCACAACCTTTCCCTAACCCTAACCATACTGTAGCCATGCGCAGGTATAGCATGAAGCAAAAATCTTAAAAGCACTGGCTTTTAAGGATGGATAGAGTTCAATCAGATTTTTTTTTAATTGTATAACTTAAAATTTAAAACTGGACGGGTGCACTGGTGTGTGCCTACAACGACCCAGGAAACAGACACACATCCTCAGTGGGAGTCAGGCTGTGAGCCTTTCTTGCTTGGAATTTTCCATCTCTCTCTTCCCTCATTTCTTGCCACCTTTATCCTGTCAACTCTGTAATTAAAAGACGTGTGTAGGATTTAGTGGCATCTAGTGGTGTAGTTGCAGATTGCAACTAACTTGCTTCCCCCTACCTTTCCAAGTGCCACACGAGTGAAAAGTGCAAACTGTCCTATCTACAGCCAGTGTTTGGTTTGTCCCTAATGGGCTACTTTAGAAACATGGTGGTTCAACATGGCGGACTCCGTGGAGGGTGACCAGCTGGCATCTGTAGATAAAAAAGGTCTCATTCCAAAATAACAAAAACAAAACGATTCTTATTTTTAGGTGATTATACACTAATGAAAACATATTTATGAATATTATATTACATTTCTGCCAATAGATCTTCCTAAATGTTACACACTGGACCTTTAAGGCATAATAGGACTTGGAAAATGCACAAGTGGAAAAAAAAAACCTAGAACAGAAACACCGTAATAAATCCTCTTCCAGTTTTCACTTCACCTTCTAGGTATTTCTAGAAGCATACTCCAACCAGAGAACCTTGTTTAACATAAACTGTGGTGAACAAGTGTCAAGAAGTGTGAAAGTTCAGGAAACACAACAAGACCTGCGTGTGTGGGGGACATACAATCAGGGTAAATATTTATTCTAAACCAATCTGCACCCAGGTATTTCTTATCGTTAAAAAAAAATCTAAACCATGCATAAATCCCTATAGGAGATTACACTGATATTTTGCAAGTATAATAAACATTTCACTTATATTAACATATGGCTTCAAGGGAAACAAACACAGGCCCTGAACAGGTTCACAACCTGTTTCTCCTTGAAATTCCCTCAAGCTTTTCCATCAACTGAACCTGCCTCCTCTATATAATACCTGCTCAGAACAAATAAAGTGAACAAACAAAGACAACACCATCATGTTACACTGCATGCTAATCCATCAGTGCAAAAAAAAGGACAGCATGGAGGAGGAAGGGAGGAGTGAATACAAGAGGTGGGAGAAAAAGGGGAGAGAGAGTTGGAGGAATGAAAATAAGAAAGATTTAGAGGGAGGGAGGGCTGGCCGGTGAATGTGTGCAACATGTGAGACATCTGCTGTTGAAACAATGTAGGAGCTCAAAAAGCTGTTGAACTGGAGCCAAGATCCAGTTTGCCTTTTCAGCCTCAACCGGCTGAATCTGTGTGTTAAATCCTATACTGCTTTCTGAGCAGAAAACAGCAGCCTCTGCAGGACAACACTCAGCAACAGCAACAAACATACAACTGAATCTGCAACAGCTGCATGTCAGTGAATTCAGCAGAAAGCATTCACAAATTCAAAACAACACTTCAAAAAATAGGAACAAGACCTTCTGTCTATGTGATATATAGCTAAAATACTACATCAAAATCAGTCACAATGTCACAAAACAGCTAAAAACCCAGACATTTTGAATTCTTTCACCATGTTTGAGCAGTTTGAGCTTACCTTAAGAGTCGTGAGCAATCCAATCCTCTTGTTAGAGCCTTGAGTGCCTGACTACTACAGTAATTACCTCATTTACAAACAGGATCACGTCAGAAAGTAGAGAGAGGGTGTCCAAACAAGCAGAGTATGAGAGGGGAAGGGGGGAGAGTAGCAGTATGCAGTGAAAACGTTAGACAGTGAAGGTAAATAGAGAGAGAGAGAGAGAGAGAGAGAGAGAGAGAGAGAGAGAGAGGTAAAATAGTGAGGGTTGCTGTAAACAGAGAAGTTAGAGCGGCTGAAAGGCCACGCAGGACAGACAGAGGGTGTGAGGCAGGCAGATCAGCGCAGGAAGTTGATAATAGTTGAGTTGTAATGGTGTCTCTGAGGAAAACTTAATGCAACTCTAACCTCTCTCCTTGTTCCCTTCCCTCCTTCACTGTAACTGTAGAAGCAGCTGGCAATGTGTCAGAGCAATGATGGGGATGGCAATGAAAACATGGTGACTGTCAGAATCAGTCTTTGTACAGTATTACAGAGGCTTGCAAAAGTATTCACCCCATTGGCATTTTTCCTATTTTGTTGCCGTACAACCTGGAATTACAAATGATTTTTATCTGGATTTCATGTAGTGGACA